ACATATAAGAGGTCAATCAAGGGTAAGCAGTGAGTCTTAAAATACGTAAGAAAAGGTGTGATATATTTTATTCTGATTCAGACCATAGACTCCAGAGAGGACAGTCATGATTTACAATTGTAACGCATGTGGGGTTATGTTTCCAAAGTTAAGTCAGTTACTTCAACAGAGAAAGAGCGAAAACCATTGGGATAAATTCAGCTTAGACATATGCTGTAAAGTGTTTATTCGACGAAACAGCCTAAAGAGACCAGCGGCGAATGATGACATGCCGCCAAAGCGCATGAAGAAGAACGATGACCCGAGAGATTTTTACACTATTACAAAAATCAATGAACAGCGCATCGAGAAATTTAAAACAACATTCTCTACTTACAAAGTGAATTTTGAAGATTAAGAGGTTACAGAAAATGTACTGGCTACACTCGATCAATTATTTACAGCCATTTTTGATGAACTGATTGCAGAGGCTAAATCAGAAGACTTAATAGGAATGATGATTCAAAGTCCTACATTGGATTACCCCATCATAATACCGTTTATGCGGTTACCAGATTTTACCTCAGAGCGTTTTATGTCTTAAAGAGAACGTCTTCTACAGTCAAATGAAGATTTCACCATAGATCAATCTCTTATTTTTTGAAGTGACTCACGTAAACATGCCAACTGGAGGAGCTAGAAAAAGATGCCCTTATGTGGACCTAGCGAAGACATCAAAAGAAAAACATTGCTTTATCCGTATTTAGAATGACGACAACTTATGCTGTGCAAGAGCTATTGTTACGGCAAAAGCAAATCTTGGACAACACAAAAAGTGGAACAGTATCAGACAGGGTTGTGCCATACAAAGGGAAATGGTTGAGGAGTTAAACAACCAAGCAAATGTACCACTTGGACCTTATGGTATTACAGAAATCAAGAAGTTTCAAGAGTTTTTGATGGATACCAGATCTACGTAGTGTCAGCCCACTATTTCAACGGTATTATATACGCAGGACCAGAAGCAGACAAGAAAATATATCTATGTCACTATGACTATCATTATGACATAATCATTAGTATGCCAGCATTTCTAAGCAATAGCTATTTCTGTACGATGTGTCAGAAAGGTTACGATCACATGGAAAAGCATTCATGCAATAATGTATGTCATTCGTATAAGAAAGTGCATACCCCATGCGACGAAAAATGGCTGCATTGATATATATGTAATCGGTTTTTCCGTGGAGAGATATGTTTAGAATTTCATCAAAAAGTTACAGTCAATGGTAATTCTACATGACGTAAATACAATAGATGCAATGACTGTGGAAAAACAATAAACACACTAAAGAGTAAAAAAACATCGTATGCGTTTCAAAATATTGTGATATATATAAAGACTTATTCCAAGAAGGACACATTTGTTATTGAAACCCGAAAATCATGAGGAACTATCTGATAAAAATGATGATAAAAAATAAATAAACATACTTTCATATTTTTAGATCTAGAATGCAGACAACAAGATATTTTTCAATGAGAGAGAGGGTATGAAAGAGGTGAAAATGGGATATGTATACATTATCAAAAGTCAAAATGCGATACCTTTGAACGTATACCAAATCTATATGTGGCTCATAAAGTATGTACTTTGTGTATGGGATGAAAGTTGAGTGAGAAAAGCGAATGGGAGATGTGTGGTAAGAATGAATTAATATTTTCAAGCCTTGATACCATTGATCAATTTTGTAGTTGGCTATTTTCTGAAGAAAATAACAACGCAACCGTTATATGTCACAACTTTTAAGGTTACGATTCTTATCCAATTTTGCAATATTTTTACAGAAATGCTATCGTTCCAACAGTGATACCAAATGGTGCCAAGATCATGTATTTGATAGTTTCTAGTTGCAAAGTTAAAATGATTTATTCCATCAAATTCTCTGTTTGGGTTTTTTTAAAGAAAATTTTGGACATGTAACAGGCTAAAAATGGCCTCAGTTCGATCTTTGGGTAATTAGTAACCGACGCTGAAAAGCCTTTAACTCTTTTTGAAACATACCTTATGGGAAAATACATGTAAACGTACAAAAACGGAGGCATGAGTAACACTTTTTGAAACATTTAAGACACTTTTTGAAACATTAAAGATAGTTCCTTGATAGTTCCTAGTTGTAAAGTTAAAATGTTTGATTCCATCAATTTCTTGCCAATGGCCCTTTCACAATTTCCAGCAATATTTTGATTTTCTGAATTAAGTAAGGAATACTTCCCCCATCTTTTCAATAGACCATTTACCAGGCATTAACAACTGAAACCTGATTCTAGAGCCATTTTTATGGAGTGGCATGAATCAAACAAGAACACATCGTTTGATTTTCAAAATGAAATATTAAAATATTGCCGGTTCGATGTTGATATTCTTTGAAGATGTTGTCTCAAGTTTAGGACTGACTTCCTACAAATTACCGGTTTTTATCGTTTTAGAAGAACAGCACCATTGCGTCCACTTGTCAAACTGTCTTCAGAACTAATTTTCTGCAAGAAAATACTATTGGTATTATTCCCACACATGGATATAATCCTGAACAGATTCAATCTGTACTGGCATTACAATGGGATAAATACATGTCACATAGTCTCGGTATCCGTATACAACATGCTAGATACGGAGGTGAGAAATCCATTGGTCCTTACAAAATGGATGGTTATTATGAAACAAAAGACCAAAAGGTTGTACTTGAATTTCATGGTGACTTTTGGCATTGGAATACTATCCAATATTTAAGTAATACAATTCTGGAAACAAAGTGATCCCTCGGAAGCATTAATCACAACAAAATAACATAAGAATTGCAGACTCGGTTTGATTGAGTCTGTACATGAGGGATAATGAATAAGTGCAACATCCCTCACGCCCCCTGAATCCTGTCAGTAAACTTACCATGAGTGAGCTTTATCAAAATACTTTGACTAAAAAGAGATATATAGGAGATCTTGGTTATACGTATGTATCTATCTGGGAATCTGAGTTTGAGAAAAAATTAAAAGGACACAATTAGAGGAGGACTTTTATAGAACAGCTTGATATGACAAATCCCTTACAACCTTAGGAGGCTTTTTTCGGGGGTCGAACAGAAGCATTCACCCTTTACAAAGAAGCCAATGATGAAGAAAATATACAATATGTTACATCTTATTATATCTATTTATCTATAAGACAGGAAAAATTCCTTTAGGTCACCTTAACATTATTACAGAAAATTTTGCCGAAATTTGTTAATACGAGGGGTTAATCAAATGCAAAGTTAATCCTCCACGAGACTTATTTATACCTGTGCTGTCATGTAAAATGAACAGAAAATTTATTCTTTTGTGTAAAACTTGTGCTGAAAGTTACAAACAGACAAAATGTATGCATACGAACGAAGACAGCTTATTAGTTACTTAGGTCACATACGAAGTTAAGAAAGCCATTAATAAACATATGACATATTGCATTCAATCTATGAGGTCTTGAATTTCGAAAACATCTCTCAATGTGATCCTATTACTAAAGACGGGGTATCTTCGCCGAATATGTAAATACATTTCTTAAAATCAAACAAGAAAAAAAATGGTTGGCCAAAATGGTGTATAACTTTAGAACAAAAGTATATATACATTCACCAGTATTATGAAAAAGAAGGGATTCAACTCGACTGTCATAGCATAGAGTAAAAACCGGGAATGGGGGTCTTGGCTCAATTTGTTCCGGGGAAAGTTTGATCAATGACTAAACGAAAATCAAGTAAAATTTATCGATGATCCTGTCTGTTATTTTGAAAAACTGACAAGCGACAGGGAATAAGTAACAGCAGTAAGCTTTGTGTCTAATGAAATGGTAGAAGTACGTTGGAAATACAGGGATTAATTCGTAGATCCTTCTGGGAAAACAAATGTTGTCATATCTGCTAACACAACAGCTCAAGCCAGACTCAAATTATATTTTTACTAAGAAAATTTAGGTACGCGTGCATTGTATGCGGATACTGATTCTGTCGTTTTTTCCACAAAAGCTGGAGACTGGGTGCCCACCCTAGTGATTATTTGGGCGATCTTACTGACGAAGTACCTGGAAATCAAATCGAAACATTTGTGACAAGTGGCCCAAATGTTATGCCTACACATTAAAATATCAAGAAGAAACTGGTAATATAACTCAATGCAAGGCAAAGGGTATCACCTTAACTTAAAAAAAAAAAAAAAAAAAAAAAAAAAAAAAACAATAAACTTTGCAACTATCAAAAATATGGTTAGAAGCCCTTCAAATGAAATTGTAACCGTAACAGATTACAATAAAATATGATGAGACGGTGATCAATCTTTTCCATATGGCTATTGAAGAGTTATTGTATCATTACTTTTATCATATTGTCAATTTATGATAAGAAAGTATGAATACTGCATTATTGTTTGTTGTCCTTTTATTACTACGATATCGTCATTGTTTTGCATACCATATACAATATTGGATAAAACAGCTATAGGATTGATCATGTAAAGCAATTGTTAAGCAAAGTATGACTTATCATAAAAAATGACCTCTCAAGATAAACATATCCTCTCGAAAATTGACTTCTCTCAATATCAAAATCCAAGATGACTGCATTATATAGACAAAGAAGGAAAAACTCGTCTTGAGTTATGTCCTCCACTACTGTCACCGTCCAAGTCCGATAGCACAGTTTATGCAGAATGCAACATTTAAACATGAAACAAGTGAAAGTTTAAATTTGAAATGTTCCCTTAGCGGTTATCATGACATGTTTGTGTCATTTAATGTTAAACGACATACGGTCCTTTAGTTTATGAATGCGTATCCCCTAAACGAGAAAACAATGGCCAGAACCCCAGAAAATGTACCTGGTGTCCAATTAGATTTTTGTTACTTTAAGTTTTGAATATTGAACAAGAATCAGATTTTATTTTTATATTGTTAACAATAATAACATAATTTTAAGACAATTTATATTTACCAAGTAAAAGTTCTACATTTGTTGCCTCAAAATCAACACCAAAGGAGTTGCTGAAGTCCTTAATGCAATGAGCAGCAGTGACAATGAAACTCTGTGAAATCAGTGTTCCACCACAAAACACACTTCTTCTGGACGCACCCTTGCAATATCAAATACATTTCAGTTTTATAAGTTTTTATTCTTTACTTGTTGTTTTGATGTTACCTTTTGTTTTAATTAAATTCATGCAAATAGAGAAAAACGGCATCCCCAAAGAACGCCTTAAAATACAACGGAATCCCTGAAATACAAGTCTTTTAAAAGTGAAATAAAATGTACAGATATGATGACATTTTCTTTTTTGAAACGAACATGTATTCTTTAGAATTTTACTTGAAAGCTTTGATTAATCATCTCTAATTTACCAAAAATAAAAGAAAAAAAACATGAACTCATGCCATTCAATGATTTATACGTTGAACTTAAATTAGCAAATAAAATGTTGTAACATTGCATAACACAATAACAGTTACTTGACTAACATTATGCCACACACTCGACATTTTTACTTCTTTAGAAAAAGCAAACTTGAGTTTTATAATGTTTAAAACTTGTTTGTGAAGATGTTAACTAAATACTTATTACTGAAGATAGTAGAGCTGAATTAAACACAATTGAAACAAAGTAATAATTTGACCTTCGTATAAAATTCCAAATCACTATAACTGTACAAACTTGCCAATATGCAACAGAGAACAAAAGATGGATCAGGTTATTGGTAAATAGGTAAAGTCTTGAAAACTATAGCAAAACTCAAAAGACAAACTTGGTGAATAAATAAATTTCGGAGGCATACTTGGTCTTTAAATATTGAAGTACTATCCTGTAGCTCAAACAAAACTGTACAGCAGCAAGATAAAAATGTGCTGTCTAAAATTGAACCTCTTTTTTGTTCTTTTGTTGTTTTCGGTTTTTTGTTGGTTTTAATCTGTAAATTTTCAAAATTTTATTTGCAACTGTCCTCAAATTAATGTCTCTATAAATGCACTGGTGTTAAACTCATACTTGAACCCAAACATAAGAGTATTAAAATAATACTAAAGTTTGTAAATGCATACGGATGTCCTTGCACTTAAAAAGTTTTCCACATAAGGATATTTTCATATTTTCATATTTTATTAGCTTTTCCAATTCGACTTAATAACATTGTTTTCATTTGGGACCATTCATACATAGGAATCAAAGTTCTGCAAGTACTTTCAAAGGCAATAGTTAAAATAAATAAAGAACATATTTTAAATCGTTCAATATTAATGTTATTTATTCCGGTTTACTTTTTGAAAGCTTCGATTTTTTTTCATACGAATTTATAAATAAAGCTACAAGGTCTTAGAACATCAGAAAATAACAATACAATGCAATTCATATATTTTTTGGGGTGAATAAATGTTTGTTTAAAGGCAAAAAAAGATGGTGATTCCTGCAGAACACACTAGAAAAATAATGTAACACTATTTATGTGTTTTATGTGGTATACACTATTTTACTGTTAAAATTAACAATCAATGATCTGATATGCTTGTATAATTAGCCAGTCAGTCGGAACAACCAGACAACACACAACACATGTTTGTCTAGTCCAGCTGTTCCGGATTCTCCGTCTAGATGGAATTCTGTCACGACTGAACCGGCCAGACAGAGATGATACAGTAGAACCTGTAAAAGGGACTATTGGTTTATTACAAATTGTAGTTAAAGATTACTTATCACCTCGATCTCTGGCTATTCCGGCTATCCAGAATAATCAAAACCACGGCTAATATCGTGTGTCCGTTAGTCGGCTGGTAGAAGTGCGAGCCTATAAATTCTTATTTCAGACCGACTCTCGCCATTCCCGGATGGCCCCTGTGAGCCTCACCCTCAATCAAACAACTCAATCAAAATGTACTTGGTAAATATTGTTCGTTTGTTCAATTGTTAAATGTTTTGTTGAATAAGTATGTTTTAACCAATCAAACAATTGGTTAGGGACTCTGACCGAGTGACCGTTGGTATAGGTGTGTACGTCGTAAATTCTCTGGATTTGCAGACGTTGAGCTCAAAATAATATAAAAGGTTAGCCCCTGTGAGCCCCAGATTCAATTCTGCAGAACCCCATGGTAGAATGGATATGGGGTATCACCATATGTCCGCTAATATCGATGTGTCTATCGGGAATATTTTGTTATTTTGGCTGACGATCAGCCGAAAATTATGAATGGTCATTTAATTTTATATCCCGTCTTTTCCGGCTAGCTTATTCGATCAGCACCATAAAAATAAAGTTATCTATGTATATGCTAATTTAAAAGAAACAAAACGACTCTGCATTTGTCATTTTTTGAATTAAAAAAATCCCTGGTTGCACTATCATATAAACTCAAAAATGGATATTGTAAGATTTCAAACAACTGTTAAACACAAGCAGTTTAGAAAAATGACATTTTTCAAAAAAAGGAATTTCACAATTAAAAAAATGTCGAGCTTTGTTTTTATTCTAAAAAGAAGTAAAAGAAAAACCCTTTACTCCGTAGAGTTTTTCTCAATTTTTTCTCGATTTATTTAAGAATGTTTCAAACTATCAAATACTTAATTTAGTAAATACAATTTTATATTATTTTTTAATCAAAATATTACGAAAAGATACAAACGCAGAGTCTGCTTACGCAGCAAAGTTCTTTAAATATTTGACTTTGCTTCGATTTTTCCTTTAAAGCTCAGACCAATAGAGAAATCATGAGATGTTTTTAATAAACCTACAAATAACCTTATAGCTACTATTTTTCCGTCGGCTTAAAAACCAAGCCTTCTACAGCTTTGTTAAAATCTTTAACAGTTTTGTTGTAAATCTCATTAAAAATTGTTCAAAAGTTTTGATTTTAAAAGAAAAAAATCGCGGTAACACTACTTTTCGTATACGAATTTTAACATACAAATGAAGACTAGTATAATATGCGCTACGTCAGAATGGTAAAATCAATTGTAACCATGTTAATTACAGCAAATATCAGATATTCTTATCCAAACAAACTTAACCGTTTTAGTTTCACGGTGCATAAACCCTGTGGTTTTTTGATCTCATAAACAATTGAATTTGTATGAAAACATCCGTAATATAATGCGGAAATCTACCATTAAATTCGGACTGCTTCCTTAAAAGTGTTTGTTAATTTTCTATTGATTTATCGATGACTCAAAGGCGGAATTTCTCATGCAAATAGAAATTTACTTCTGATTTCGCCACAATACGGTTGTAGAATTTGAGACTTATAAATCTAATTTTGGTTGTCTGTACACCAAAATAAGAACGAGAGTCGATATAAAACATATTTAATTGACGAATTGTAGCTATTTCTTTTTTATGAAATGTCTTTAATGTAGCTTTAATATAACTTTCAATGTTTTCTGTTTGGATTTTCTTTGTCAATGGACCCGCATTTTATCAAGTAATCGCTTCGATGTACATTTAAAAATAAATTCGGAATCAAAAATTCCTTCCGAGCTCTATTATGTAAAGTCATATATTGGTTTCCCCTTCGGTGATTCGCAGCATGTCATATTAATGAATGAAACGGAAGCAAATTACACGCCTCAACCGCTGGGAATGCAGTATAGAGACACAAAACAAAAAAAAAACAACAAAAAAACAACAACAATAAACTTAAATTCAGTCAGTATTCTTTATGACATTTGTATCTTCTACAGAAAATTATTATAATTTTGTAGTACACAGTGGGTTATGTTTGTATTTTATTGCTGTGCATGAATTCAAAAGCTATAAATAGATCAACTAGCTTAATATTGTGTATGTCCAGTGTGAAACTAAACGAAACGTGTCGCGCTATGGTAATAAATAGCAAACTGGAAAATTTTGCAGGAAATGAAATGCTCATATATTCAACAATAAATTGCACTCCTTATAGATTTATCGAAAAAAATATGTAGGCCCTTTTTACGAATTGTTATATCATAGTATTATAATTTTGAAATTGTCTTTTCCGTGAGTTCAATAGCACCTTCATTTTTACGGCCCTGATTGCACCTAGAACGGACATTTTTACTGTGAATATTTAAATCGACACTGATTTGTCGAATTTTGCTGTTAAAATTTTATTTTGTTTGAAGACAATTGGTTTTATGATGATTTAAGTGGTATGTTGATTTGCCGAATACTGTAACATTTTAAGAACAGAAACAGAGGTGTTACGGTTTTATTGAAAGGAATGTAAACACACTACTGGGTTAGACGAGGATTTTGAAGCAGTTCAACAAATAGTAGATTGATCTTCCAATTAATCATTGATATATCATCTAATAACACTGACACAAGCAGAACAATTTTGCTCTTATGTCATGTCACATTACACTTACAAGTCTTGTAAGTCTTGTTTGTATTGGAATCACTTACCTTTCTAGGTATAGGCATCAGTGAATTATGTTTTCTTTTAATTAAACATATGACCCCTTTCTCATGGACAGTGTATATGATTAGTATAATAATGCAAAAAATGATTTACAAAACATCTGGAATAATGTACAAAAAAACTAAATCTGAATAGAACATGGCCTGTGCGTAGGTATGATTTGGTAAGGTATTTGTAATGAGCACATTTCTTTCAGCGGAGGTTCTCAATTGCTGCATTGCAGCAACATTTGTACTTGTATATGGTTGTACTTACTCCTGTAGATCTGAACGTAACATGCCATGGGTACATTTTAGGAGGTGCCTCAGATCCCTTTGAAATTCTTGAACTCAACATTGCCTCTTCATGAATGGATATTCCACAATCTGTAAAAAGCACAATTTTATGATTTGATTATTTTCATCTTTCCAAAGGTACAGATATTTTCGTGATGAGTTTTTGGGAACATTTACCATTTTAGATAAATTTGGAAGTAACATGAATAGGATACTTAATACTTTACCGATTTTCCTAGCATAAATTACATCTAAGAAAAATGTAATCCCTTAAATAAATATATTTTAAAGTTAATCCTCTAGCAATGGCGGAAATGTGATAATTTAGAATCGATCTCATTGCAACTCAACACTTTCGAAACAGAATCCTGCTCAAATCGTGCATATTGACTCAATGGTGTTTCATAAATACATTTTATTTAAAGTATGAAATATTCAATGCCTTTTCCATATTCTAGTTTCAAAAATTCGAAATGGGTATATGTTTTAAAAACCGAGCGATGGAAAATCCTAACTCAGTTTGAACTGACTTATCAAAATAGAAGTTTAGCATTTGGAACTTAATATGGCTTCCTCTATTATCGTCACATGAATTTCTTGTTTCTACATGCTATTTTGATGGCACATTTGTGTCCCATCTTGTCTCGTCTATGGTCAAGTAGAGAGGCCTTTGTGATATCTCGACCCTTTGACACATCGACCCCTAAGAAATCTCGACCCATGAAACTTGACCCCTAAAACACTTAGACCACTTAAATTTACTGGACATTTTGACCCCTACTTCTTTTATGTACATTAAGACGTTATTTCAGAAAAGATAAGAAGCATGAAGACATTAATTCAGAAAAAATAATGTTTTGTTACTAGTTTGATGTTTAATATTTTGATATGTTTAATTTATAAGATAAATTGAATTACAAATGAAAGCATAAGCAGTCGTTACTTGTTATTTATAATCATTCTTCAAGTCAACTATTGTAACTAAAACAGAAACACACACATTAAATTTAAACAGAAAATATAATATGTATGTGTATATGTATATATATTTTCATAAAGTACAGTAACAACAATTTACATTAGCTACGGTTTGTGTGTGTGTGTGTGTGTTTTTTTTATCTAAATGCATTTCTATTAGTCATTTTGTAATCCATATTTTTGTAAGAAAATACTGTCCTTTTTGTCAATGTACACTAATTAATTTACTTTTACCGAGCTTCTAACATCAGGACATTTGAGACCTTTTGGTTCTTTGAATACTTTATTTTAATGAAAAAAAGTGTGCGTGTATTGTTATACATGAAATAAATCATAAGGTTTAATGATTATCAGAAATCGAATTTCTTACATCATATCTGTGTGCTCAATATCCCATTTTTAAAGTAACACTGTTATGATGTAATAAAGACACAAAGCAACACTCACTGCGTTATAGAGTGTCGACAAGAGCAGCACCATTCAAATACAGATTACTAATAACTTGTAGTAATTATAATTGATTATTATTAGATACTTAGTAAAACGGATATTATTTCATGAATATAACTTATGTGAACTTGAATATCAATATTTGGAAAAGGTTATAAAAAGACTTGAAACTAACCCCGCCAATAATGAAATGCAGTTACTGTTTATTTAGCACAGCAACAATTTAGAATTGACAGGGTATTTAATTTAATCATCAACGACACGCGACATGCGTATTCACACCACTATTTAGACAAAGAAATTAAGAAGAACAAATATTGACTTTAAGAAATAAAGAGAATCAAAATTTGTTCATAATTACATTTTTTCAGACTACACAACAACAATACTACATATTAAAAAACGTTAAGTCGAATTCATGAACAAATCACAACCAATTAATTATTGATCGGTATGTATTTATCGATATTGGTACTATGGTTTCTTTTTCATTGTGTAAAACGAGATAATCGCAACATCGAACTACAAACAAGTTAAGTTAATATATATCATTAAAAAATGAGACACGTATCAATGTTCATCGCAATATAATATACATGTGTTTCAAAGGGAAAAAAATAGATATTTGGTTTCAATGTATTTATTCAACAAAACGTTTAACAAGTGAACAATACTTACAAAGTACATTTTGGGATTAGACAGAAAGCTATAAAGCTTATGATTGTCCTCTCCCAGTTATAATAATTAACATTAACACAGTTCATGACATTATCAATAATAAAAGTCAAAATATTGAAGATAAGTGAGAACATGAGATACACTTCTTTTTGATAGTTAATGCAAAATTTTATTTGAAATAACAGTCTACTCGTATATCGTAATTATTGATCGAAACTTAATATATTGAAAAAGTATCATCAATATAGTTATACCTTTAAAAACAGCCTGCTTAAGTACTAAACGAAAACATTAAGCTGGGCAACAAAAGCATGGGGTGTCTAAGAAGTTTTTTTATAGTAAAATATTTCCACAGACACAATGTATAAGAGAAAAAATATAGCAAAATTATAAGTGCAAGATCATTTTATCTGATTGTGACTATGACATGTAAGTTTATATAAACATACATCGTTAATTTTAAGGCATGAAAATACAGACGCAAAAATATATCAGACTACGTGTGTGCACTCATAGCACATTGTAATCTTTAACTTTATAGAACAAAAGTTACATAGCTACAATCTTAGTTTGAGACTTAAGGCAAACAGAAGACAAAGCTTAAAATACAATTTGCAAATACAAATGTATCTGTTTTGAACATCAGGGTTAATTACATTTGTTACAATGTTCGCTTCCTAACATATTTCGAAGTAAATGTTCCTTCATTCAGATAGATCTTGAGTACATGGGAAAGATTCTACTTTTGCAAAAGTCTGAATATATCAGGAATGAATCCCAGATAGCAAGTGTCAAACTTCATAAATCTATATTCTTTGCTTTATATCGATTAGAAAGCCGACATAACGGACCAAAAAACTGTAACTTGCTATATCCAATTATCCTTTCTAAAGCAGTTAGATTTAAAGTACTTAAAGCAAAGTCAGTATGTAAGGACTGCATGTATTTTATTCTAAATCTGTGTGATCATGCCAGTTTCTGAAATGCTACACCAAAGCTCACATCCGTAGAAGCTCTTCGGAATGACTATTGAATTATACAATATCTTAGAAGAAACCGGATTGAATCTATCCGGATGAACACAACTATTGTAGATATTAAAATGTCCCTCTTAGTTTATTGCATGCATCTGCAATACAGGTATTCGTAGAGAGAAAAGAGTCACATTTTATGCCGAGATGGACATAATTATCTCCTTGATTAACATAATTGTCACCGAACATTGAATATTATCACCGAACACTTGTTAGCATTGTATGGAATCTCCAACGACTTGCGTATGAACAACAAATATCAAACATGAATGCAGACCATTTGAAGAGAATGATATCAATACCATGTCGTCTGCAACTGTGGGTGATCCATTGGTCCAGTCCGTACATGCAAATACCTAAAGCACTACTATGTATTTTGTTATAAGTGCATTTATGTACGCAAGATTAAAAAAATGGCGAAATTTGCCTCCCTGCCTTGTATCTTGTAGAACAGCGAACCACTTATAACATAGACCTTGATATTTCACACAACTTTGCATGTTTGAATACATATATTTGATCGCTCTAAACGAAGTTGAGTCAATTCGGATCTCATTTAAAAGTTTAAACAGCAACCCCGAATGCAAAACATTGTCAAAAGCATTTCGGCCCTCCATAATACAAAAATACACTCTAGAACCATACTCTCTTGCAAATAAAATGCTTTCCCGTACAAGGAATGACATCATTAAACATCCTAAACCATCTTGAAAGTGATAATCATCCATCAGCGAACCGGGCTTACCATCAAGTTTAATATGTGTATCTTTGAATGTAGAGTATTGAGACTGGCCATTATCTAAGGTCGCTATTATCTACGTAACGGATGGCAAATCTAAAAAGTTGACTATGATAAGGTATTAATTATACTGAAAAAGGAGCCTGAAATCTTTTATCAATATCGGCATGTATACGTGTATAAAACATAATACATTCTTACATCGAATCATCTCGGGGTATAAATACAGGCTCATGTGCAATGTCCTTCTTAAATCGTACTTAAAAACATCGATTAATTGCTGAATTATACCTTGCAATTTAAAATATTTTAAAAATAAGTTCCATCTAGGGTTATTAGCTATTAGTAAACAGTTACATACCCCTGTAGTTCTTAACATAACATGCCATGGATGCATTCCAGGTTGTACCTCTGATCCCCTTGATATTATTGATGAAATCAAATGAGCCTCTTCATGGATGGATATACCACAATCTTACATATCAACGAAATCAATAGTTTCACATTTTAATCTGATTTAATTAATATCTCTATCAAAAGGGACAAGTATTCACCTAACTCCATTAAAAGTCACTGATTGCGTTATATATGATTTATTTCAATGAAAGTAAAGATTTAAACAAGAAATACCAAAATGACACAGATGCCCATCCTAAACAGAAAATATAATATGAATGTGTATATGTATATATATTTTCATAAATTACAGTAATAACAATTTACATTGGATACAGTTGTGTTTGTGTTTTTAATTTAAATACATTTCTATTACTAGTAGTCGTTTTGTAATTCAAATTTTTGTAACAAAATACTGTCATTTTTGTCCATGTACACTAACATCAGGAAATTTAAGACTTTGGTTCTTTAAATACTTTATTTTAATGAAAATACATTTACGTGTATTGTTATACATGAAATGAATCATATAATTTGATGACTACCAGAAACCGAATTTCTTACATCATATCTGTGTGCACAATATCCTGAACTTTAAAGTAACACTGTTATGATGTAATAAAGACACAAAGCAATACTCACCGCGTAATAGAGTGTTGCACTATTCAAATACAGATTTCAAATAATTTGTAGTAATTATAATTGATTGTTATTAGAAATGAACTGTCTATACTAAGTAAAACGAATATTCTTTTATTAGTCGGACATATATCTATTACTAATGTGAACTTTAATATCAATATTTAGGGGCGTCCGTGGCCGAGTGGTTAAGGTCGTTGACTTCAAACCACTTGCCCCTCACCGCTGTGGGTTCGAATCCCGACAGGGACTTTGGATTCTTGCATGTGAGGAAGCTATCCAGCTAGCTTACAGAACGTCGGTGGTTCTACTCAGGTGCCCGTTCGTGCCTGAAATAATGCACGGTAGGGAACCTGAGGTCTTCCTCCACCAGTAAAGCTGGAACGTCGCGATATGACCTATACTGTGTCGATGTGACGTAAACCCCAAAACAAACAAACAAAATTTGGAAAAAGGTAATAAAATGACTAAACAAAATGCGCTTTAAGTAATGTAACCTACCCAGTTAATAATGTTGTTTATTTAGCACAACAACAATTTATAATTGACTGGGTGTTTAATTTAATCATCAACGACACGCGACATACGTATTCAAACCACGTTTTAGATAAAAAGATTAAGAGAGATACGTTAAGGCAGATAGCAAATATTTTAATTGTTTTCCTTACAAGATCCGACAAAAGTTACACATATTGACTTTAAGATATTAAAAAAAATCAAGATTAATTACTTTTGAAGCTTTTTGAGGCAATACTACATTTCAATTATGAGCGAAAAAAATGCGTATATGAAACGAGATGTAAACAAATTTTTTAAATGTTAAAATTACAATATAAGATACGGTGGCACAAAGGTTACATGTGTGTATTTTTATTTATTTTGTGGCCACGAGATACTATGTCGTGGCCAAGAGATACTTAAGTCATGGCCACGAGATACTATGTCGTTGCCACGAGTTACTAAGTCGTGGTCATGAATTAGCTAAGTCGTGGCCACGAGATACTATGTCGTGGCCACGAGATAATTAACCAATCAGAATACACTATATATATATTATGATTTTTTTAAACTGAACAACTAACTTTTACTTGCAACATTTATCTTTGAAAATAGTGAAGATATTCACTTTGAACTTTTCGTTAGGATCATATTAGAAAGTCACCTTCAAAGGCTCATCAGACATAAATTTTAACTAAAGTTCTTTGTTGGGACAATTGTGTGATCGAATTGGTCAGTTTGTACGTACTACGGCCTGTTTACGTTGTTTATACAGGAGAAGGAGTAAGTCCTGGTTTATTTTATTTTGAAAGGACATTGCCCATAGACAGTAGATAGTCTATAAGGTAAAATCTTTGTCTGATGAATAATGTTAAAATGATAAGCCATGGTTTATATAACAAAGAAAGATCATTGCACCTGATCAGTAGATGACATCTAATAATTTCGAGGTCATTGGGTCAAAAATCAGGGTCACAGTGACGCTAAATGTAAAATTATTAACCAGTCAATAAGTTGTATAAATGGCACTTTTACAGGCTAGTGAAGTAGTGGTATCCTTGTAAGGGAAACTCATATAAATGGTGTAATCTAATTAGTTATTTATCTCGTGGCCATGACTAAGCTATCTCGTGGACATGACTTACGAGTAATAACTCGTGGCCTTGGCATAGTATCTGGTGGTCACGACTTAGCTATCTCGTGGCCACGACTTAGTTACTCGTGGCCACGACTTTTTAACTCGTGGCACGACATATTATCTCGTGGCCACGACTTAGCTATCTCGTGGCCACGACTTAGTAACTCGTGGCCACGACATAGTATCTCGTGGCCACGAGATAAATAAAAACACACACACATGTCACCTTTGTGCCACCGTAATAAGAAGTAGATGAGAATACATCATTTATTATTTTCATTCTATACTACAAATCATAATAAGCAAATGTACATTGTTGTAGTTAAATATAATTCTCGAAAAACGTTCAATCGAAAACATGAACAAATCACAACAAATTAATTATTGATCGGTATGTATTGATCGATATTGGTACTATGTTTTCTTTTTCATAGTGTAAAACGAGATAACCGGAACACCATCGAGCTAAAGACAAGGTTATTCAAAATATAACATTAATTAAGTAGATATGTATTAATATTCATCGCCAATATAACATACATGTGTTTTAAAGGGAAAATATAAACTAAATCTTTACACAATTATAGAAATTGTAGATATTAGGAATAATCACGCAATGTACATTCGCGCTTTTTATTATAATCCCTTTACTACTATTAATTAAATCCCAGCTTTGAAAAAAATATATAATTATACAATGTATATCATTACTGTTATGTAACATAAAATATTAGATTAATTGAAACTTTATTGTTTTTTTTCCTTTTTCAAAATTTTGTCGGATCTTATAAGGAAAACAATTAAAATATTTGCTATCTGCCTTAACTAATCTCTCGAAATATCATACTGGCCTTTTCAAGTACAAAAATTAATATAGGGGTCGAAATATCTTACCCACTAGGGTCGAAAAATCATGTAAACAGAGTTTTAAGAGTAAAGGTTTGATTGAGCCTGTTTATAGCATTTTTTCAATCCCCCCCCCCCCAATCTTCCTCAAGTTTTATTTTCTCTGTACCCTTTTATCTTTGTAGGCCTATCTTTAACCTTGATTTCCTATTCGGAATTCTATTTAAAATAATACCATGTGCCCTGTCATGTTTTTGTTAGGTACTCTGCTGGGCGTCTTGTCGGTAGTTCTGTGTTGCTGGATCGTATTTTTCACATTTAGAATAAAATGTAACAAGAAAATCAACACATGTAATAATGTTCTGAAAAAAAAAAAAACCTTATAACCGGATAAATCAATATGAAACTAAGTTTAAAAAACTTTTAAATTGGAAATGAAAACACGTACATGCACCGACAGACTTTATGTCTACCACTTGAAGTTTGCCTTCCTTGTAACTATAGCAACCGTTTTCGTCTTCGGCCTCGCACTGGTAAACTCCCGCGTCTTTCATTCCAACGTTTACTATACGTAAGTAGTTATTAGCCATTTTCTGTCAAAGATAAAATATTTGTTTTGACCAATACAATAATGAACTATTTGTATTGTGGATAAATTATATTAAACTGTTTTGGATGGAAATAAAAAAATAAACAAAGGGCAGTCAATACATATACCACGCAGTTGCTCTTGTTGACAAATGACTTTTCTCGTGTGCTGTCATGAAGGTTAAATTTAGCTTGAAAACAGACCGTTTATTTACAGTTACACTTTTGCTGATTCCCTCGGTGGTCATTTAAAACAGGTGTGATTTAAAATGTATTGAATTTATGTAAATATAAAAAATAGTGGTGTCTATAAGATGAATTCAAAGAATGGATAAAAACATTTACATTTAACTGTTAGAAAGAAACGATATTTGTTTCGATTTCTTATTTCGTTTTGACTATGCAAATTGATGAATAATAATAATAATAATATTAATAATTATAATATTATTATTATTATTATTATTATTATTATTATAGCAAAATCATATTTATTTCGCACCTTATACGACTGAACCGATGAACTTCCGGCGTTTGCACCATGGTGATAAATCATTATCCAGTTAATATTAGAAATTTACTTATTAAATTTGATCAAGTCACTTACAAGGTATAATACGTAAAAAAAACAATTATATTTTAAAATGATATTAAGCCAAACGTACCAGAAACCGACTCAAATGTTCAATTATGACTTTGTTTGTTTATTATACCTGTACAGTATATTCACACTACATTGTATTTGCTATATCAAGTACACTAGCCGTGCGCATCTTTATCGCTGTAGAAGTGTATTCTTTTTATCTTAAAAGTTTGTTAGCTTTTGAAGAGAGGTTCAAGAAAACTGCCGATTTTTTTTCTGATGAAAGTAAAAAAAAAACAACTCACTTTGTTTCCAGATTTTTGATCATCTATACTTGGGGAAATAGTTTCTTCCGTAAGCAACATAGTCATTTTTACAAATAAAGGTACATCAAATTTTGATTATTTGTTTATATCTGTAGTTTTTTCAAGTCTGGCATGTAAATGTATTGGGGGAAGATAAAAAAAATCAAACCCAGGTCAAATAAGTGTCATATCAGCTGAAATATCGAATATTTTCTTTGCCCTGGTAATTTTCTCCAATTTGTTTTTACTAAAAACACGATTTTATCCGGTGTGCGGTCCATACAATGATATAAAATACGATTATGTGGTTCCCAAACTTAAAAGTGCTGCGCATTTTGCACACGGCAAAGCTGGGGCCACATAATCGGATAGCTTCGTTCATAGCCGTCTGGTCCATTGAATTTATCGAAAGATTTTGTCGTTGGAAAAAAACGGCGATAATATTGATGTTTATTTCGGCTGTTGCGTTGTTTATATTACCGTTGAAGTTTAAAATTGACCATCATCGTGAAGAATTATATCTTCTGTGTCGATGGACCAAAGGATTATGTGAAAATATTGGAAATGGAATAAAATACATGGTGATTATGACGGTAGGGGTGCGGATTTTTTTCCGGCGAACATTTTTATCTTGTGTATTATTATAGATGTTGAAATATGAAATTTTTTCAAAACGGCTTATATTAAGTTTTTTTGATATATATGATCAGTACATGTGCTCGGATTGACAAATATGCATTTTATTTGGATTTTAAAGGCTTTTGAGCTCCAAACCCCAAATGTCTGTGCTTTTATATTTATAGACTCATTAAAGTTCATGAATAGAAATAAATAAGTTAAAAACTTCTACTACAATATCCACATAAACCCATGTGAAAGCATTGTGGGACAGACAGTGTTGATGAGCTAGATAAGCCAATTACTTCTGCTGAATTAAGAAAATAAAGAAGAATAAAACTTGCGGCATGGATAGTTTGATAAACAATATACTCTTTTCTCATATGGTTGATATGTTTAATGCTATTCTAAATTCCTGACATTTTTAGATGAATGGTTATGTGGAGCCGTGTGACTACGTAACGTTTACACTTGTAATCAAACATTTTTACAGGAATATTGAATAAGCGTCAGAAATTTATAACGCATTTAGTGACAAGCAATTCCGCTTACGCACGCGTTCTTCAACAATTGATGCTGTATTGTTTTAAATGCTATTTTACACAAAGTTTTAAATGAAAATAATCGTTTGTATTGCTATATTGATGATATGAAAAGTAAAAAAAAAAGTATTAATTAAGCACTGATGGAAACCTATTATGAATAGTAAAGGACATGTATTCCCACATGTTAAAGTTTGTGTTAAAAATTGTGTAATTCATATTCGGAATCCAACGAATGTTCTGTAGGTCTAAAATAAGGAGAGGTTTTGTCCCTTTTGATGTTCTCCTTAATTATCGTTTCCTTGAACTAGTTTTGCAAGAAAAAGATGACAGTGGTTTATCACTAGATGAGATAACGTTCATACTTTTGTTATTTGAAGACGACATGGTTATTTTAGGCGATACAGTTAGCGACCTACAAAATAGCCTTAACTTGCTTTTTACATATTGTATAAGGGTCTGGAAGTGAAAACTTTGAAGACGAATGTTATTGTCTTAAGAAAAAGAGGCTCTATTGTAGTGCCCCGGTATTTAATGGTAACTGATACTTACCTGGTGATTTTCATGTGATTTTCATCTATTCTGTGACCTTTTCTTTTTTTCTTTTTGTAACAGTAAATAGATTTGCAGCTTTCACTGGCTTCCCGTATAAATCAAGACAGTTGGACTGTTTAAATATTCAGCTCAACTTGCCTTATCTATGCGTTTTGCCAGGATTTCTTAGTTTTTACATTGCACTGTCTCCGTTCAAAATGTAAAGTGTTTGTATTTTCACTTTTGCTGCTCAGTTTATCCTAGTCCGTGACGTTTTTGTGATAAATCCAGTTTAAATCGTTAATAACACATGTTTTCTTTTATTGTGTGAAGTAACTTGTTTAAAATCCATGTTAAACCTTCGAATTTTATTAATTTAATTTGTAAACACTGGCACATTGTTGTTGTACAGGAGGCGGCCATTTTGTTATGACAACTTCCGGTTGTATTGCTACGGACGCCGGTGCGCTAAGGATAATTTTTCCGTATCGTTTACATTGTCTTGATTTGAGAATAGATTGCTATGGCCAGCTTGTTAAACTGTAGAAAACGTCCATATAATGTAATTATTTTTATCTTACATTTCTATCTTTATTTTTAGTGTCTACTCGGTATGATTATTCAAAATATTAAGTTTGCATCACTGCTGCAGTAGATGCGCGCTTTTGCTACGTCATTAATGCTGCATTGATGCGTTCTTGTTTTATGCTACAAGAATGATGCATTTATGCATCATTTTGTTGCATGCTACATCGGTAGCACTCAGTTTTGTATAAATACCAGACGTCTTGCTGCGTTCTGGGCCTTCAGATATTTTTTTCGGCCTGGGCACCCGTTACTCTAGTAGTAATATTTTAAATTTTTATTTTAAAGCATTTATTTTTCTAAAAGGTTGGTGTGACTTAACAAAATAGCGAATAGACACTAGAGAAAAATTATTAATAGTACTTTTTTCTTGGTTTAATAAAAGATTTTATATCTTCAAAGAAATATTTTTGTAAGAGAAATCTTGTAATGTTTTTGTAGATTTCTCATTGATAAGTAATAATAGTTTTTCTAAATATCTTTAAGTAAACTTGTGCATTTTAAATCATTTATTACATTGCCATATGAGTTTGAGGCTTGTAGGTTCTATATACAGTGAACAGTAAATTATAAGTTATTCATATACTTGCACAAGGGTTTAGCATTTCAGTAAATATAGTGGTTAGCCATAGGTTGGTAGATAATTTAATGAGTTTTAATTAAGTTGTTAAAACATGAAACTTTGTTATTAATTTATGAGCATGTTCTGATTGCTTTAGATTTAACAGAAAATTAAATTGATTATACTTTGTCACTTGTCTTTTGTCATTGTGTACAAAAATAGATTTTAATTCTTATTTACCCATACTGGTTGAGACCTTCCCCCCCCCTTTATTGAGTACTGAAGTCCATAGCCCATTTGTTTGCCCTTCACCCTGAAGCCTAAGTCCTGTATCCTGACAATATTGCAAGAGACTCGGAGCATTGGGATAACCAGCCTGGTGAACTGAGCAGTATAAGTGGAGCTGATACCAAGGTCGAGCACTCACACACTCAGTCATCCGGACATTACATTGTCTATAGCATATTGTGTTTTACAATACCAAGGCCATCCGGACGCTAGGACCGCTAGCGCATCATATATTTTTAATAAGTGGAGCTGGTATCAAGGTCGAGCACTCACACACTCAGACATCCGGACACTACATTGTCTATAGCATATTGTGTTATACAATACCAAGGCCATCCGGACACCAGGACCGCTAGCGCGTAACACTATTACACATGATGAATGATTTGCAAGCTCTTTGACGCCTTTGTTACAGCTTCTCTCAATTGTGGGTGTGAAATTAGTCGTTTAATTAAATCGAAAGAAATTGAACGTAACCATTTAAAATTTTGTAAATATCTTTTGAATGTTAAAAGAATTTGTAGTAATGTGGGTGTTTATGGAAAATTGGACGTACCATTAAATTCTGGTGAGAAATAGTAACGTCTTCTATTATATTGTTAGCAAAAATGTATAAATATTTTGTAAATGTACGGTTTATAGAAATAACTGGGCAAGTTAAGGACGTTTTGGGAAGTTTTCATAAAGACATATAGGCAAAATTAAAACTGTTCTACAGAATTTCTTTAAACTTGGCATGTTGCTAGAATATGATAACAGAAACATTTTAAACGAAAAAACTTGGTTTTTGAGTTGTCTGCCGCTGAATCAGAATTTTCTACTTATTTGAGGTCATTTAAAGGGCAGAGAACTTATACGTAAATGAATTTTTGTTTTTACTTCTGGATAATATTTTTTATTTATTGTTGAATACAACACATAATTTCATAATTATATGCAATTCCTTTTATAGGTTCTGTTATATTTTCAATGAAAAGAATGGTACTTTAAATTCATAAAAATAGCTGAATTTTTAAGAAGTGGGGAAAAAAATATCCACTCTAAATTTGTTTTTGAAATTTTGCATACTGAAAAAGAAGGTAGACTTCATGAAAATATGAAAAAATGTATTGTTTCGCTTCATTGTAAATAATATGCCCTTGAATTCAACGAAAATTCAACGAATTCCATTCCAAAGGCAGATAACTCGAAAATGAGAACGGTCACCCCAAATTTGTTTTCTGTTTAAAATGTTTCTGTTATCATATTCTAATAACTTGCCAAGTTTAAAGAAATTCTATTGAACAGTTTAAATTTTGCCTATATGTCTATATGAAAACTGAAAATGTAAAATACCTTTTAGATCGTTATGATTTTTCATATGTTTGGTTTGGAACAATCAATTCTGTGTTGACTTAAAATAAGTTCAATCTTTGTTTTTAAAGAAAGAGTAATTATAGATTATTTAAAAACTGACAACAATGGCTACAGGGATGCGGAACATTGGTTGTATACAAACATTATAAAATTTCATAAAGGTTTGAAAAATATTTCGATTTATTGCCATTTAAATTTAGAAGCATTCTGTCTAAGCTTAGACTATCATCGAACAAGTTAGTCATTGAAACCGGTCGATACGCTAGAAATAGAGTAGAAAGAAATGTGCGATATTGTTTATTTTGTAGCAATAGAGATATTGAATATGAATATCATTTTGTCATGGTATGTGCAGTATAAGCTTATATAAGGAAACATTTCATTAAAGAATATTCTATAAAAGTGTAATGAAGTTTATAGAGCTTTTGAATAGTGATAATTGTGTTACTGTTGTAAAGCTGGCAAAATCCATATATAACGCATTTAAGTCAAGAAGGTCTTGAAATTGCAAATTTGAAACATCAAACTTGTCTTTTTAACAAGAAAATGTGAGTTGCCTGATTCATCCTCCTTAAAATATCTTTATTTTTGTGATAAAAATGTAGTTATTGTTTGAACTTTATGTGATCAATTGACTAATATATGTTAGTTTATATATGTAAAATATAAGACAAAGTCTGTAATGTTTATGTCAATAAATTTTTCTGTCTGTCTGTCTGTCTGTCTGTTAAAGACAAGTGATGGCTTTCAATTAATAAAATGTCAAGATTAATATATTTGCTATTTAATTTCCATATATATACAAAACTAGAATTTAAATTTTACTTATTTCGTTTTTCTTATAATCTATTACAAATTGAACAAAACAATTCGAATACACAGAAATTGATTAAATGATTAATGTTTGAGTTAAGAAAGTAAACACACCTTGATTCTATCATCTTTGTCATAATCAATGTAAACTCCATCTTTCTTCCATCTAACTGCTTTGGCCTGATTGTCCACCCGGCATGTAAGTAAAGCCATTTCGTTTATTTTTTTGCTCTCTGACTGAGGTCCAGGGAATATTTCTGTTAAATTTGAATATGCCAAACAATGTCAAAAATAACCAAACAACCAAAAATTACAAAATCTGAACTTTAAAACGTCACAATAATTCAAACAGATGATGTATTAGAGTGGGGGATAAGTACAGTGTATTATCTATCATATTAAACCACAGTCTACTAGGAATCATTAAGAAAAGAGACCACATTGCTTAAACAACAATTGAAATTTTATTGAATGAAACTTTTAACAGTCACATAAAAAGGGAAAAAGAGACCTTAACGAACGTCCACAACGGCAAAATTGAAAATGTAGCAGGCTCGATTTGACTGAGTATGTCCCTAGACGATAGAGGAAAGTGCTACCACAATCGCCCCTACAGCCTGCTTAAATGTGCGTTTTAAACCTTATCTCCAGGTTTTCAAAGATAAGATTGTAGCGATTCGATAAAATGATAATATTCCCAACCCAGTCGACCAGTTAGATTTAATAAAACTGCTGAGTATTAACGTACTTTTTATAAAGTATATAACAATTAAGATGCTAATTTTACAAACCTTAGTTTTCTGTCTCTATTATGGTGCAGTGTTAACATGTAAATATGTATTTTTTATACACTTAGTGTCAATGCCATTGGTAAATTTGATTGTAAATTTAGATCACATATGTTGTTAGTTGCTTATCTTTTCTTTGATAAATTTGCATTTATTTTTTCAATTTGTAATACAATAAATCCTTTTTTGTATTGCTAATGTTTTAAACTTACTGACGTTACAATCCTCTGCAATCCTGTACTCAAAGGTGTGTTCTGCTGTTCCACCTGAAGTTGTCGCAAAGCATGAATATTGTCCCACCAATGCGTCCGAAAAGTCATCAATCTTAAACATTAGAATAGTGAAGTTGAAAATATATGATTTGGGAATATGGACAAAAACTGACTCATCTCCGGTTCATATGGTCGGTTCTCAGTACCATACACCAAATGCTACTACTGTATGCAGTTCCATTTTGATAAACTATATTTTGAGATATTACTTTCTTAAGATACAAATTTTTATCCCTGCTCGTACGACATCAAAAATAATTGTGCCGTTATCCGAATACATGTACAATCTGCCTCTCATTAGGTAGAATAATTTACTGGGTAAATCAAGTTCTGCGGAACCAGTTTTGACCATCGAATATTAGATATAGGATTAAACTGAGGATTTTTCTGATTATTCTTAATTAAGAAGACTTACAAAGGACGCTTAATTCTGACCCAATAGCATTTTCAGTTAAAATGAAAAACCTTATCCTCTCTATTCCGTCAACAATCAAACAGAAGAAATAAGTATCTAATATAAAATATTTCGATATTTAGAATTTCATTAGCAGTAAATGTATACATTATATATACCCGAATGAGAAATGATGGGGTTTCTATCATTCAGAATGAATTTATATTGATATAATCGAAATAATTACAGTAACCTATCTGTTAACAAATTCTCTTATTTCAAATTAAAATGCTTGAAAATTTATAACGCACCTGTAATATTCCACCTGGATGAGTTCCAAATCCTGCATTTTTACTGTACGGCTCTATCAATGTTTCTTTTAATGACCTAGAAATAAAACAAACTTGAAAATTGACATATAGGCGGGACATTTTTTTCTCCTAAAAGTATCAACATTAAAGCGTCATCTTTATTTTAATTTACCTTTACTAGTATACCTAATGTTGTTTTTTAATAAACGCTAAATGCACCATTCTTTATGTAATTATTTATTTATTTTAATTTATTTAGTAAATTTTATAAAATTTCGAAAACTGATTGAAAACTTTAGTGTATGGGGAACTTATGGGCAAGTGTTTGGAAACGATTATGCCACCTTTTCTATAGAAACCTTTGCCTGAAACAAATGAATACCATTACATGAAACACTTGAACAACAAAGGAAATATTTGTACAACATTAGAAATACATATAATCATAGTTTCATAATGTGCAAGTCATACATCGGCATGTGATTATTTTTATCTTGATTAGCAGAACAACATTGTACATTAGGTCTCTAGTGTTGACGTACAACTGTCCATATACATGAACAAATCACTGACTTATTTTACATTTTGATAGTAACGTTTCGTTTCATGTTGAAAGGTCGTTGTAAACACAGAGTCTAGATCCTTTCCTTGAGACTAATGTAACTAAACCGGATAAACAGTAATCCCCGCAACTTTGAAACTTTGAAATCCGACTTTGATTTAAAGTAAAGTATCTGATATTGTTTTGGGTCTTCATTTTTTCGGCGCCGTCACCCATCCAAATATTACATCAGGGGGTTGCCAGAAGGGGGGTGTGCCCCCTTCTGTTTGGGGGCTTTAAAGGGGGGCGGAGTCCCCCTCATCGCCAAGAAAATTTTGGACATGTGACAGGCTAAAATTGGCCTCAGATCGATCATAGGGTAACTAATAACCGACACTGAAAAGCCTTTTACTCTATCTCAATTCATTGAGAAGTTGCAGCACTTTGAAATCCGTTTTGATGGAAAAAAAACAATGCAAAATAGTGATTTTTGGCAATTTGGAGACCACCCCCATTGCCATGGTAACAGGAAATTTACCATTGAGCATGCTGTTACAGAGGCTATGGTGTAGTCAACATTTGTGCCAAGTTTCATTAGTATTTTCATAGTTTCATGGCAGTTTGAACTGGAGGGACAGGAGGCTTTTCAATGAAAACGGCCATTTTTCGCAATATGCTCGTGGGGTAAAAGGTTAATGTTCGTCTTCTGTTTTGCTTCGCTGGACCATGTAAGTGATTTTCTTGTTGCTTTGTCTTCCTTTAAGAAATTGAGTACTTTCGTTAAGTTCATTGGGTTTACTTTTGCATGTTACTACATGATCATTTCTGTGTTTTACTTATTTCACCTTTTTTCATGTAATTTTGGTGTGATTGGCGCTTCCGAGGGATCATTTTGTTTCCAGATTTGTTTTATTTATTTAACCTATTGCAACCGTAACAACTGACAGAATTTCGCTTGGCAGGGATTCATTTTATTTACAATATCTCGTTTAAAGGAACATGGTGGGTTTGGTGCACCATTTACCGGGTTAAACTCCCCAGCAGTACTTATGCTGCTGCACGTTCCAAGACGGCGCCCTCTGTTTTTTCAGATATATGTCTTTGTTTTGGTGACACTTGTTGTGTACCATGCTTTTTCTCGTCTACGGTAAGTATTCTCCCTTTTGCTTCTTGTCTTTTATTTTGCCGATCCCATTGTCCCGTGTCCCTTTACTTTGTGGACCTTTTCCTTGTCAGTAACTGTTGTTTGTTATTGAGTGTCATTTTAATGATTGGTGTGTTAGTGTTCTGCCTTGCGTGCTGTCCTGATTTTGTTTGGGGTCCTCCTGGACTTTTGCCACCGGTTCTTGTTGCTGGGTTGTATGGGGGTTGTGTTCATTGAACGCCGTCTTTCCTTGATGAACTTTTCTCCATATCTAAAGTCACATCTAGGAGAATTATTTATTACGATTACGCCAGTTTTGTGTAAGACAATCAGATACTCGCTGTTTTAATTTAGTACTTGTCATAAATTGATATCACCCAAAGTTTGAGACATCCATGCGAACAAAAAAAACAAATTTAAAAAAGTTTATCGAATCTGATGCCCTTGTACGTCATCCTACGTCATAAACGTCTTTGTGCATCTGATAACAGTTTTTAGGATTTTTATGATTCTGCATTGGCAGCAATTGACACCAATATTTTACAAGTCTTATAACATTATGATTATCATATAATGATAAACGACCGCGTTCGCTTAGGCGCAACATCTTATTGGTTGTTAAATTAACATCTTAAAAAATGCTTATCTACTGAACAACTTTTCTATCTCCAAGGAGTTTCTGTTTATTTTTATAAATCGCATATTTACCAGCTTATATGTTTTATCTTACAATATGTTATAAATACAAAAACGTCGTTGACGTCAACAATAAAAATACGAAAAAACAAGATGATGGCGTTTTCCGTTAAAATTGTTCCACTGCATAACCTTGTCCCCTTATTCACTGTTAGTTATAATATTACATACATAGCAAGTAATGTAAAACTAATTTCATTGTATTTCATTGAAAATACATTAATAATAAAAATAACAATAATGATAATAATGATAAAAATGATAATGATTATATTAATAATAATATTTAAATTATTAAAATATGCTTACAGTACTTTCTTCGAACTTTCTAATAATATCGGAGTGTTTCAATCCCTATATCTTTAATCCGTACTAAAGTATAACTTTATCCATTAAATCAAACAGTTTAGAACATTCCAAATAATCAAAATATCCAAACTGCCTTTTATTTACACTTATACAGTATACAGATTTTGTTGTTTAAGACGCCAACTTATACAGAGCTTTAAAGCATGACAATTTAAGGGTGGAAAGGAGTCCCATATATTTATACTGATGAAGTGTTGATTGGGATATCCAAACATTTCTTTATCACTGAGTATTTTGAAGGACCAAATCTACGGAATACTTTTATAACTGTCTTACCTTTATTGACACTAATGCCGACAATGTCACAAAAAAAAGTGTTCACGAAAAAAACACTTTTTTTTAAATTCCATTTTATTTAGTTCTCCCATTGTTTTTTCGTTTAGAGCAGACGCATAAATTTACTTTTTACCATACGCCTATAGAGGCTATTCGTTGCCAAAAACCCAGCCTTTGAAACTTGACAATGCATACTTCGGTTCTACTAAACAGATTAGTAAAAATCTAATTGTCGATCCGAGAGTTACATACTGCACTGGTATTAAGCATTTTGATTATCTCGATTTGATAAAATGAAAGCTGTTAACATGCAACTTAGATAAATTGCAAACTGTATTTATAAATGTATAATTTCAAATTTGCGACATGTAGAAATGTAAACGATAGAACGTACACAATACGTTTAATGCTGTGCATCATGACGTTGAGAATGTAACTGCATCAACTTGACACACTCAGGTTTACGACACCACACTTTCCTTTTACATTCTAACGCGATTAACATTTGTAAACGATTTTGCAACTTCCATGTATGGAATTATCACGGAAATAGACGAAAATTAATAGGCGGAGCTAATTTCACGAAAGCAGAATATAAAGAGAGGTAACTCTTGCTGGTACAAAAATATTTCAAATTATATAGAAACTGTTACATCAATCTTGACTTTGAACATCCTCTGATTTTGTTAAAACGTATTCTAGTACAGGATATTCAAGTAATGCAAAATTGGTTAAGATATAATTTAAAATTGTAACAACGTATATACTGATAATGAGCATATTAATATGCAAAAGCTAAAGTTGGTGAAATAACATAAGGAAATGTTTCCCATATATAATGACACACACCACTATTCATTGATATCAATGATAGGGTTTTGTGACCCACAGCAATACTCTTGAGCATATTTTTTTTTACCTTCAGCAAATAGTACTATAATGCGATACATGGAAGGCACTTTTGGCAACATGAAAAAAGAGAACTGAACAATAAGCCTGTGCCTTCTTTCTTTAAAGGACTATGTTGGGTTGTAGAAAAACTCATATTTTTGACCAAGTGTATAACCACGAAACAATGCAAAGTTTACTATCGATAATTCCGTTGTATAACCAAAACTTGTGAATTTGTCCCATTTTAATGTTGAAATAAATATTCAGTGTATCATGGCAACTCTGTTTACCTCCATTGAGAGGTATTTTGAGTCATAGAATGTGATTTAGCCTTTTATTGTTAAATATATGTAAGCTGGCGTAGGTTAAGGTCTTTTTGCCATTTCATTTTGAAAACTTGTTCCGGTTAGGTGGTTTCCTGCTTATATCTGTTGGTGCATGGTTGAACGGGAAACCAGCTGCAATCGTGCCAATCGCAACTTTTTGGCTATTTCCGTCACTCTTCGGATTAATGATAATAGCCGATGTAGTTCCGATTGCAATCGTGACAATTCGGGCGATTCCGTCATACTGCGGAATCAGACAAAGTAATATTACGGAAATCTAAGCTATTTTAAGTTACTTCGGTAATCCCAGTTTGTTTATATAAATAGGATTTCTATTTTTACTTGATTTATCGGTTTAAACCGTAAATAAATTATAAACGAAATTGTTCCGTTTCAAATGTTTTTCAAGACGCAAAAGTTAGTTTCTTTTATAATTGTTTTTTGTCTGTATTAGTTTTATACAATAGAGAATGGTGACTGTAGTAGTATTCCGTCTTCAAAGGGTGGTTCTGCTTACCAAATCACGCATGATCGAGTTATATTTAGATCTACTGAACGCAATTCAACTTCTTGGTGAGGTAATCTAAAAATAGCCCATGCATATCATTAACCTTGCCACGTGCTGATCTACAGATAGCGCATCGTCTATTTGTGATCGTGTAACATAGTTGATACATACTTATTAATTGGTACCATGTAACGAAGTATTTTAGTGCATTTACTTGTCTATAAAGCAAAGGAATGATTTTGCTGCGAAAAAGGGGAAATGAAATGTGCACACTTGTTTTCCTTCAGTATCACGTTAGTATTTTTACGATTGATCATTTTCTTTATTAGTTTTATACAATAGAGAATAGATTTCAAATCGTTTTGACAAAAAAATATTCGGTTTTTCAAAAAAACAAAACAAAACTAAATAAACCCTTTATGATATACAAATACCGTAATTCAAAAAAAAATGTGATAATAAATTGAAACCAGAAAAAAAAACAATTTTAAAGGGTTGGGATGAAGGCACAACTGTGTAAGCCTTTCCTTTTAAAAGGAAACTTTATTATGCATTGTGCTGAATCAATAGCACCTCTGAAATATGTGTATACATGCTGTCATTAGCTGTTACCTAGATTTTCTGTCTAGATTTGCTGTCTATATGATCAAAAACAGACAACTACTTTTATGTACATGAAATACTACACAGAATATTTATTAAGTTTTGTAAGTGATGGCTTTCTAAGAGATAAAATAAACAAGGTATACATAAATTGATAATCAACATACATACATTTGGAGTCATTTAAATTTTACTGAAAAACAAAATGGGAAAAATGGGAAAATATATGGTAAAAATAAAAAGTTATGTACGAAAGGGTACATACAACTTTGGTTATAATTTTACTATAATTGTTAAAAGTTTTTTTTCTTGTCAAGTCATACGCTAGAATTAAGGTTACTAATATAATAGTACTACTAGGAAAGACAACAGCCAGAATTTGGTCTGTATTAGTATAATTAGTCGTATCAAAATCTCTATCAGATGTTGACTTGAAAATTTGAAAGTGGTAAGGTAGCAGCTTAACTGTAAATGTTACTCATTCCTATGCAACTTGGAATACCATCAGTAAAATTTATTTGTCGTTGAATATAGTCTTTTCAATAGTTTTCACTTCCTTGAAAAATATTTAACGTCAGACAGTATGTAACCTGGTGTTTTTTTTTTAAGTTTCTTTTTCCAGGAAATGTGGTGTCTACAACGTTTTAAAACTTATATGCCTATATTCCTTTAAAGTCCGCTGATGCTGAAAAATATTTAACGTCAGACAGTATGTAACCTGGTGTTTTTTTAAGTTTCTTTTTCCAGGAAATGTGGTGTCTACAACGTTTTAAAACTTATATGCCTATATTCCTTTAACCCATTACTTCATATACACGCCTTTTAACGCCTTTTTCCCCCCCCTTTTTTGTTGTCTCAAATGATGAAAAAATGCCTTATTTAGGCCCCAAACACTTGTTTTTGTTTGAGAAATGTTGTTAAAAAAAGTGACCTCTTTTTCGGCGCGGCCCCCCATCCAAAAGATACATCAGGGGGTTGCCAGAAGGGGGATGTGCCCCCTTCTGTTTGGGGGGGTTTGAAGGGGGCGGAGTCCCCCTCATCGCCAAGAAAATTTTGGACTTGTGAGAGGCTGTAAATGACCCCAGATTGATCATAAGGTAACGTGTAACCAACGCTGAAAAGCATTTGACTTTATCTCAATCCATTGAGATGTTGCAGCACTTTGAAATCAATTTTGATGGAAAAATCAACGCAAAATAGTGATTTTTGGCATTTTTGAGATGTCCCCTCGTTGCCATGGTAACAGAAAATTTAAGCCTGAGCATGTTGTTGCAAGGGCAATGGTCCAGTCAACATTTGTGCCAAGTTTGATTAGTGTTGAAGCAGTTTTTATAGTATTATAGCAAATTGAACTTGTAACAGGAGACTTTTTAATGAAAACAGCCATTTTTCACAAAATGCTCATGAAGTAATGGGTTAATGAAAAAAATAAAAAAATCTACAAAACAAGAATTTTTCTTCAAATTTATATGACAGGCCATGTTTAAACATGAAAAAACGCGATTTAGGGTAATTTCAAGTATTTTCATCATTTTCTGTTAACCCATTACTTCATATACACGCCTTTTAACGCCTTTTTCACCCCCCCCCCTATTTTGTTGTCTCAAAGGATGAAAAAATGCCTTATTTAGGCCCCAAACACTTGTTTTTGTTTGAGAAATGTTGTTAAAAAAAGTGACCTCTTTTTCGGCGCGGCCCACAATCTGGGGGGTTTGAAGGGGGGCGGAGTCCCCCTCATCGCCAAGAAAATTTTGGACTTGTGAGAGGCTGTAAATGACCCCAGATTGATCATAAGGTAACGTGTAACCAACGCTGAAAAGCATTTGACTTTATCTCAATCCATTGAGAAGTTGCAGCACTTTGAAATCAATTTTGATGGAAAAATCAACGCAAAATAGTGATTTTTGGCAATTTTGAGATGTCCCCTCGTTGCCATGGTAACAGAAAATTTAAGCCTGAGCATGTTGTTGCAAGGGCAATGGTCCAGTCAACATTTGTGCCAAGTTTGATTAGTGTTGAAGCAGTTTTTATAGTATTATAGCAAATTGAACTTGTAACAGGAGACTTTTCAATGAAAACAGCCATTTTTCACAAAATGCTCATGAAGTAATGGGTTAAAGTCCGCTGATGTTGATTGTAGGCAATCATGCAAGTGAATTATGTTTAGTAACTAAACACCTAAAAGGTATAATAAACGGAAACTACGCCGCTTCTTGTCGCCGACGGTAAATACCGAAAATGAGCGGAAAATACGTTTGTTTACGATGATTTAGTGGGCGGGAAAATGGGCGGAGCTTATTTTATCTCCTATTGAAAAACGTGTAAAGCGGGATTATGCTGATCTGAATCATGATGGTTCGACAATGTAAAGCTAAGAATGTAACTTCTGTTTTGAGTATTCGAACACTTGGTATTGCTACTATCAGTTAATGTTTTGTCGTTTAACAAAATTTATTTTGTTGAAATGCATGTTTACAAAAATGTTAAATCGGCAAACTCAATCCAAGTATGCAACATTGGAGTTTACATACAAAATAGTACAATTGTATTTTTTCCATTAACAAACTGTTCAACCCAGATCAACAAGGCTGGATTTTTGGCAACGAATAGCCTCCATATATGCCGCTTTTCTTAGAATGACACTTCTGTGTCACGTTGTAGGTTTAATGATAACCGCCATCTGCGGATGTTTCTAAATTCAAAATTTCATAATTTTCATGTTTAAATGTTAAATCTGCTTTAGCCGATGCTAGAGTGACGGTAATTTCACAGGATCGTCCATGAACAGGTTCAATCAAACCGAGCCTGCAACATTTTCAAGATTGTCGTGTTGATCTTTCTTTAGTTATTCTGTTTTTCTCTATTCTATTTGACAACGTTAAGATTGCGTCGCAAGCTAACAACTGTGTCAGCTGAGTTTGCAACATCAGCAAATAATAACGTGATAATATCAGGGATATTATTACATCTATTCACATTTATACCACTATCACATTGTTCCCGAAGATAAGTACAGTGTAGATAGGTCGTTCACAAAATGTACAAACTACTTATATCTCCCTGTCTTGTGCCTTTTAACCATGGTAAACTATTTATATGATTTGATTTTATTGACCTGTCAATGATGAATACATTATAGCACTTAAATATTCGATCCCACTACGGTTTTGTCCGTATAGTTTACGAGAATTATTATTAAGTATATAACTAATGTTTGCGTAACTCAACACTAGCGTAGTGTATATGTTCTCGTCACATCCGCAATGGCACAGTCGGTAAAGTGGTTATCCCATATAATAAAAAATCTGTGGTTCGATCCCTACTTTTGCCATTGTTTTTAACGGTTTGTCGAAAATCTTAGTCTTTCTCTTTTGACCGTCCTTGATTCCTGATTTATGTTTTAATAAACATCTAAAAAAACTATAATGATTTTTCTCTTACCAAGTATATTCTACCTGCACTCCATGTGGAACTTCAACTTCACATTCTTCTACGTGACCTTCACCTCTCTTTATCGTCCGGTCTACGGGTGCACTGATGAATCTTATCTTTTGCGGAGATTCACCCTTGCAAAAAAATATTGATATTAACGCACTTAAAAGGCATGTTAAATAAAATCAATAAACGAGATTTGAATAAGATGTAATCGTATAAAGTTTTACAAAAAAAATGTGTGTCTTCGCCAAATCTTATTGCTTTAATAAGTGAAATTAGTTCTTATTGTTTTCATTAAACTCCAAATTTAGTTACAACTTAAAATGTTTGTGTAGGGTTACTGAACTTTTCAAAATTTGGTTGAGAAAATAACCTTAGAGAGAATAAATTTATAATTGGGCTCACTGAGTTAAACTGGATAAGGAGAAATATTTCATGAATACAAACGTGAATTTGAACAAAACAATGAATACTGATAGCATTGAACGTTATACAAAAATGGCAATTTTGTTAGCTTGCACTAACCGGCTGCTGTGCAACATTATCAATTCTGCCATTTTAAAAAAGGGACATAACTTGAAAAAATGAGAACAATTTTACCTGTCGAAATGGCGTCTTACTTTGATAGTGAACATATATACCAATTTGAAGTGAAAAAATTAAGTCATAGTTGCTGAGAAAAAGCACCCAAAAAAGGGGTAACAATGGCAGAAAATGTAAAATGAAGAGGGAGCAAAACTTTGCAAAAACTAATTTTAGGAGTATGTGCTCTTTTACAATTGCGTTCATTTATGACATAAACATGTAACCGGTACCGTTGGCCTAGTGGTTAAGGCGTCCGCCTTCGGATCGGGAGGTCGAAGGTTCGAGCCCCACGGGGAGCGTTAATTGAAGGATGAATGTTTCTCGTGGGACTCGTTCCGAAATGGCCGCTTCGTGAGCCGTGAGGTAGTTAAAATGAATGGTTTCTATCCGCCTGGTGCCTGGCATAGTGGTAGGAATTGGGAGGTAAATGCTATGCAACCAAAAGGTGTCTCATAAGTCAAATTGGCTGGCCCTTTCAGTAGGGGTGACACTATAATAAACAAGACCTTTACCTTTACCTTTTGTATACCAAATTTGAAGTGAAAAGCTTCTGTGGTGTCTGAATGAATTGCCGTAATTAACACGTTAACCAACGAAAAAAGAGTCATGACAAAAACACAATTTTCTTCGGAAAATGGAGCTAAATATGAAACAATTAAGAAGAAATACGGCACACGGTTACTGGAATCACTAATTTTTAACGAATGAAGTATATTTCAATAACAATGGTTAACATAAAAATTGCGATATCAAAATAGATTGGGGAAGAGAATCTTTGCCTGCCAGCAAACTCTCATTCATCCATTTAAATACATGGGGCGTCTGTGGCCGAGTGGTTAAGGTCGTTGACTTCAAACCACTTGCCCCTCACCGCTGTGGGTTCGAATCCCGACAGGGACTTTGGATTCTTTCATGTGAGGAAGCTATCCAGTTAGCTTACGGAACGTCGGTGGTTCTACTCAGGTGCCCGTTGGTGCCTGAAATAATGCACGGAGGGGCACCTGAGGTCTTCTTCCACCAGTAAAGCTGGAACGTCGCGATATGACCTATACTGTGTCGATGTGACGTAAAACCCAATAAAAAAAAAAAAAAATTTAAATACATGTACTTCATTTTTCTTACATCTCTTTGTGAACAGTCATCCCCTTTGAAACCTTCAAGACAGTAGCATTTCTCGTTAGAACGATTCTTGATACATGTTCCGCCATTTTGACATGTATTTTTATCACAATATTTTCCCCGAATACATCTATAATTTCAAAAAAGTCATATTTAAACAAAAGTGAACGTGAAATATTTGCCATGTTGTTGTTATATTAACACAATGTTTATTTGGCATTGACTATTATGTGCGTTGCAGAGATTAATTTAAAAAATGTCAAAAATGAAACTGCATCAGCTTAAAAAAAGTATTTTATAATCTTACTTCCATTACATTCTTGTCAACAGATTTCAAATAAAAGGAAAGCAGCTTCTATAATTATCATTTGTATTTAAATACACACATATCAAAAGGAAATATCAGTTTCCACATAATTTGAATTAAAGTTACATACTTTTCAGTGTTGTCCTGAATGCATGCCATGTTGTCTTTGCATATACATTCTACAATAAATTATTCGTTTGTTTAATTGGTTAACGCATTAAAGAACATCCCAAAAGCTTCATAAATAACAAGTTAATTGTTGAAGTATCACTCTGTATAAAATGCTTTATAGATAGAACTTGTAATTATTTGAAACGAAATGAACCAAAAAAGAAATATTGAGTTACCTGTATCTGGTACAAATGAAATCTTTGCCTGAAAATTCTTAAGGGCTAATGATTCATCTGTTTTAAGTTCTAGGCGAAGTGAGTCGCCCCTTGTGACGAACGTTTGCCTACGTTTATTTTTTCCGCAAGATTGTCCGTTAAGAAAAGATGTCTCTGGAAAATGTATGATATAAATTTCAGAAATATTATTACGATTAAAAAAAGTTATGTTTGAGACACTGTATTCAATAATATTAGTAATAATTAATTCATAAGTGCCCGTTACAAATTACATAAGTCACTTTTTTTTATTAATATTGCATTCAATCTGTTATATAAAGTGAGAAACAAACACTAAAATTGAAATACCTTCTCTGTCTCCTGTCAAAAGCAAAAGATTCACCGAATCAAAGATACAGTCATCTGAGTTTTCCATGTCGAAATAGTCGAATTCTATCTGTACAACATGATGAGGAAGATTATCATTACATACCGCGACTGCCAACTGTTTGTTGTTTTTGTATTTTGATTCTGTGCATAAGTTGATACCATTCTTTGTGTTGTTTCCTTTTAACGAACCATCAATGTCTGAAAAAAAAATAAAAATGATTATCATATCAATAATGAACATTTGTAGAAAACGCTTAAGTACGTTTTGCAATAAAAGACTTCTTTGTTAAATTACCATGTTTATTTAATGGATACAATAATCTTGATATATTTGTGTTAAATTCTAATTGTGCATGTGTGCACCCTTAGGGTCCTAATGTCACTTTGCAAATAGTTGGGTTCTCAACTTTATATATAGCATTATAGTTTAATCGATTATTAGTAATATAATTGGTCTTTTTTAATTTGTGAAAACAGATTCGATATATTTAAAGCCACTGTTTGTTATTGCAGCAATGGCAATGAAGACTTTCTCCTTGTGAAAGCACATATGGCGCATCAGTTTACTTTTTTTTTCACTGTCTAAGAAGTGATGAGCGACTTGATATCCTCCATTTAAATTAAAGGTATTAACCTTTACGGCTAATGGAGCAACCCTTGCCTTGTTAAGCGATGCGAGCTAGATTTCTCGCATTGTTTTGTTGCTGTTCCGGCTCTTGGGTAAAATGATGCACATCATGTATTCTAGCTTGGCAATTGATAACTCACAATGTTCAAATGTTTTTGAGTTCTTTATTACAAAATTCACCAAAAGATACCTAATGTGAATATGTACTTGACTCGGTCCTCCTATTGGTATGCCATTTTCTTTGCATTATTACAGAAAAGCATAGATAACTTAAGGGATAGTCAATTTTCTTTATCATATACATTTCGTAAAGACAACTGGAGAATACCAATGGTTTAAGTAGTAAGTGTCTGCCTGAAACTCTTATGTGAATCTCGCTTTGTGTTTGTTAAACATGTTTTATAAAGAGTAACAAATTTCGCATAATATAAATAAAGCCTAGTCAAGCCTCAAAGTTCGCCTAGTGTGTTCCCGATCAACTGTTTCATATCTCAGTTCCACAAGAGCTGAGAGCTTTCTCATTGCTAGATCGTATGACTTATGAATGGATTATGGGCGGCTAACGTATTCAATAAAATGATCATTACTTATCAATTAGCTTGCGTACATTTTGATAAAGAAAAATGTATATCCTTTAAATGCAGATTAAATATTGGCCCAAGTGTTGTTATATTCAGGGATGTTATATTTCTGATCCTTAAAGATAGTTCAGCACAACGTAACTGTTGTGCTTATGTTATTTTAGTTCTTTCTTTTCGGCATCTTTCTTGTTGGATTGTTCCAGTATTCCTAACTTGAATACTGTTAAATCACCCATAGGATATGTGGCCTGCTTTTTAAATTTGTCTTTTGGCGTCATATCTGTGATATGCAGGTTTCATAACCTCAGATCCCCTTTCAAAATTCCATTTTATTGAGTTCTGCCCATTGCTTTCTCGTTTAGGGCACATGCGGTGTTTTTTACTTGAGGACCATATGCCGCTTTTCATGGAATGGCACTAACCACTCACCTTTGAAAGTTCCATGATAACCGCCATATAAACACATCTGCGGATGTTTCGTAATTCTAAATTTAACCAGTTCATATTCTGCTTAAGCCGGTGCTAGGAGGCGTGGACGGCAGTTTGTACTTCACAGTACCGTCCATGAACAGGCTTAATCAAACCGAGCCTGCAACATTCTTAATTTGCCGTGTTGGGATTTCTTTAGGGATTCTTATTTCTCTCTATTTTATTGAAATAGTATAAACAGTCTTTGAAGATAATAAGCAATCGAACATTTAATTTGGTTCATATAAATATGTTTGTACAGCTGGTCTTCAAAAGAGCCCTTCTAAAAGCAAAGTTTTAGTTCAGAAAGACTCATAAACCATACGATAAACTTTGTACAGGTGTCTTCTAAGGCATTAAATTGTCCTATATTGTCAATTTTACAGTTCCATATAGTACCCATTAGGGGTTTCTAATCTTAAAAATTGATTTCATTTGTTATGTTGTATCAAAACAGTAAGCATTACCATCATTTCCCTTAACCGAAGAAGTGGTCGTTGATGATATTAAGTTGTCCTCTACAAACATGTATTCTATTTTAAAACGTTCACCGTCTAGATTTAGAAGATTCCTGTACTCAATAAACATTGAACTTGCACGGTATGGTAATATTCCGAGATCATTATCACTACATATTGTACCTAAAGGTCTTCCTTCTGAAAAATCATATTGAAAACAACATACAAAAGAAAGTAAGTGACTAACTTGAACATTCTTAGACATGTTTATTCATATAATACCAATGTTAATTAGTATTTTAGTTTATCTGTTAGAACTAAAATGGTAGGACTAAAACATAATATATAACACGTCTTAAACGTTATGTTAGTAAATGAAGATATTGCATTAGATAATGCCATTGTTCACAGGTAAATGTTTCTAAACAAAATATATGAGGAATCTAGAATATTCTTTGACTTGTGAAGGCTCTGTTTTTTGAGCGAAAGGGTTCTTATTAAACTGGACTTAAACATATGTTTTTACACAACTGAAATTGAAATGATCTCTACTGTGATTGCCATTGTGAAGTAAAATACATATTCCTTACACTAGCAATCATCATCTTTAAAGTCAATACCAAGAAACTATAAGTAAACATAAATGTAACTTCTCAAGATATATGGGGTCACACAAAATAGGAAGCAATAACGGAATGAAGAAGTTTTGTTTTGTTTGTTTATTTTTATGTGCAATAAGCTTTCAGACTTGTAGTTATACGGAGATGAGTATGAATAAAGTCGATTAGAATGCACAACCTTTTAGTATTATGTATGACAACTTACTAAATGAACGGCACAAACTGATTTATACTGCTCTGCTGATACAGTTTTCTGTTATTTCTCTATAATTACGATAACACTATTAATATAATATATGAATGAACTCGGTATTTTATTTTAAAAATATTGAACGAAATTCGGAACACAAGTTTGAAATTTTAAAACAAATATTTATTTCGATTAACAAATTGTCAGGCTGCCAGAAGTTGACGTTTAAGATCAAATGTTGAAAAAACATCACTTATACAGTGCTGCAGGTGTCAGCCAACCTTTATATTCTAGTCTGTCGAGAACAGATTCTACATAGCGTCTGGGCAGATAAACATACGAACAGATAGGACAACGTATAGATAAATTCTTACAAGTTTTTAAAGTAATAAGACTGTTCCTGTTTTTTTTTAAACACTTTTCATTTTAAAATGAAAGTATTTTATGAAACTTACGTGTACTGTGTCCTTCATAAATAATTATACTTTCCTCCTCACAACTGGCTGAGCCAAACTCTAGCATTTTTAGTGTCAGCGTTATATCATTGTGTTTTGGTGCCTGAAAAACATTATTTGTTAGAATTAAAATTTTATACATATAAAATTGTACAGATGATAACATAGTAAAAAATGTGTTGATTACAAAACATGAACATTTACATTTTATTTTTGTTTTCTTTAAAACTGTAAGAGTTTTGTAAGAGTTTTATTATCATAACCACATTATTTCCTAAATTATAACCATATTATTTCCATCAATATCATTCTATTATGCACACGAAAAACGAGTTAACGTGTTCTGAGAGTTTACAATATACAAGGTCAAAAGGGAAAAGTCTGTCCAAATCATTGTCTCTTTTTAATAACTTTAATTAGTTAACCTGTATTCGGTAAAAACAATTGTCCCCTGAAGTTTCTTTGTTCACTATGCTTGAATCCTCGCCACCTAATATACTACCAAGGCAAAACGTGTCATCCAAGAACTCTGCAAATAGGAAAAAAAAACATATTTATATTTTAATACGAAAATTTGCCTCTAAATATTCATAATTTTTATAGACCATTATAAGACGATGAAGTATTTTCTTGTGCATGCGCACGTGCACATGTGGGAAAGATAAAGTACTACATAGAGATTTAGCAGACCTTTATAGTGTAACATTATCAAGACCAATATACATTCAACTACGTGGTTGCATTGTTGATCATGTGCAACTTGCATGATCCTTGCATGTACCACGTGATGTTTTTTAATGTTTAGTCTCATGACGGTTAAATATATGGTCACGTAAAAGGCCAAAGGCGGCAGTTCAAGCATTAAAACTGGCAAGCTTACAAAAACTAACTGCCGTTTTATCTATTGGTTGTTAAAGGAAAATGATGTAGAAAGTTTAAAACAACGAGTTAGTGTAATATTTAGTTTTAGAGAAAAACAAATAGTTATGTCACAATAGACACTGACTGTTGCGTAAAGTGACGGAAAAGATAATTTAATTATATCTAATAGCTTATAATTCAGCGAAGGAAGGAAATGAAGCGCAGTTGCAAGGGTTGTAATAAAAACGTATTGACAAGTTGAATAAAATTCATATTTCTTTAAATTCTCCCGAGAGACCACGTTATATTTTAAAAGAATTACAATTATCGGTGTGAAAATGTTGACTTTATAATCAGATTGAGTTATGTTTAAATAAAAATATTGTTGAAGATTTATATAACAATTGTTTTCTTGGTCTGTGAATTAGTGACAGTTCACAAACATATGTAGAGGAAACGCTTGCTTCGAAGTTAATAATCGTTCTGTCAATATCAAAACATGTCATAATGCATACACATCTGTTTAGTGTTCAGTTTGAATCAATCTAATCAGCAATTACAAGAAATGAATGGTAGCGGAATAACACATGTTATGCAGTTTATCATATGTATATACATGCTAGATTTTATCACTTCACATATTAAATTTAAAATTAGAGGAAAGTTTGCTTCGAAGTTAATAATCGTTCTATCAATTTCAAAACATGTCATAATGCATACAAATCTGTTTAGTGTTCAGGTTGAATCAATTTAATCAGCAATTACAAGCATTGAATGGTAGCGGAATAACACATGTTATGCAGTTTATCATATGTAGACATGCTAGATTTAATCACTTCACGTATTAAATTTTATGATATCTTAACACCTAATATCACAATCATGGCTTTAATTACTTCAACACAACCACGCCATGGTACAAAAAACAGTTGAATAAAATTTAAGTGGTCTATGTGTCCTACTTGTGTGTGGTATTATAAACTGGCTGTAAAATCAAGCAATCACGTGTCCATCTGACACTTACAATCCACACATCAGAGGAAGGGCAAGTATGCAATATTATGTAATTAACTGGTAATAAATTTTATATCTCCGACAACCTGCTTTTAAAATAAAAAAGTCGCTTGATAACCCTTCCGACGAAGACCTAATGTTTCGCATTTGATTTGTTCTTGTGACTGTTCAAATATAATCTCACTTACTTTACTATTTTTGATTTTTGATATAAAACAACTCTAAAGAGTTATTCAAATATAACTGTCTTTCAATAGGTTATCTATAAAGAAAACAAATTTTTACTTTAAACCTCTGGTCGGGATCAAGTTTATCAATATGTGTTTGCGGTTTAAACGGGAACCGTAAAAGTTTATTTTCAAAAAGTTGCAAAGAAAGCGGTATGTTATAATGAATGCTAAAGTCGGATTAAAATCAAAATAGTCCGTGTGTCTTTTTGTCTGTAACTTGGATTTTTTTCAATTCCTTTGATCGACAAAATGAATAATCAGGTGATATCTACTGATTCGAAAAAGAATAAGTAAAACAATGTTAACAAGAGCCGGTTAAACCGGTTGATGCCCTCCGATTAGGTTTTGGACACAGAAAAGTATACCTCTAGTAGTTAAGTAGTTTCAGAGTTATGTCCCGGACAACGTTCAAAATGAAATAATTCCAAAATTATGCATGACAGAGTTACTGTTCTGTGCACTGTACCTCTACTTAATGAGATCTTTCTATTGACTTTGTTTCTTGTTGATACTTCTTGTAGTTTTACAGTGATATCCTGGACAAAGTTTACAGAGTAAAGATGAAAAAGGCCAATATTTCACATTAGGCAAGACAGAGTTATTTTCCTTTTTCACTGCATATCTACGCAATAGATCTTTCTACCTACAAAGTTATATGTTAGTATATCTATAGTTTCGGAGCAATGTCCAGGACAAAGTTGAAAAATAAGAAAAAAAATAACAAAGGGCAAAAATTCCAAAATTATGTAAGCAAAGTCACGGTTCTTTAGCACTGCTCTTCTACGCAAATAGGTCTATCTAACTACAAAGTTTCATGTTAATATCTCTATAGTGTCAGTTATGTGCCAGACAAAGTTCAAAGTGTAAAAATGAACAGGGGGCAATAACTCTTAAATTACACAAGGCATAGTTATGGTTCTTTTGGCACTGCCCTTTTACCTAATGTGATCTATCTACGTAGAAAGTTTCTTTTTGATATCCCTTATAGTTTCAGACTTATGTCCCGGACAAAGTTAAAAGTAAAAAAATGAACAAAATGGAATTACTCTAAATAAGGAAACGCAAAGTCACAGATCTTTTGCACTACTCATCTACCTAATAAGATCTATATATTTGCAAAGTTTCTTGTTCATATCTCTCATAGTGTCAGAATTATGTGCCAGAGAAAGTTCAAAGTGAAACAAGATTTTTATAGAAGTGGAGATATTTCAAAAAGAAGTGGAGATATTTCAAAAACGGAGCTAAATTGAGTTTTAATTATATGTCACTTCACTCCGTCATAATGCCCTCTGCAATTGTGTGCTGTTTAAGCAAATTATGTCAAAGGGTTTTCAGGTTATGCTCAGGACAACACTTTTATGAAAGGGGAGATAACTCAAAAACGGGGCAAAAGAGAGTCACATGTATGATTCTTTAGCACTGCACTCCGCCTCAATGCCTTCTACCACTGTTTGCAGTTCTAACAAATTATGTCCAAGGGTTTTCGGGTTTTGTTTCTGACAAGATCTTTCTAAAATGGGAGATAATTAAAAAACAATGCAAAATAGAGTCATGATTTTTTGGCACTGTACCCCGCCTTAATGCCCTCTACCACTGTGTGAAGTTTAAATAGATTATGTCCAAGGGTTTTCAGGTTATGCTCAGGACAATATTTCTAAAAGGAGAAAAAAAATCAACAACGGGAAAAAATAGAGTTATGGTTCTTTGACACCGAACCCCGCTTCAATGTCTACCACTGTGTGCAGTTCAAACAAATTATATTTAAGGGGTTTTAAGATATGCTCCGGAAAAGCGAAACGGAGGGACACACACACATATGGACAAACGGACAAGGTGGCGACTATATACTTTCCCTCCGGTCAGCATAACAAACTCTTGAAATGTGTCATTTGCACTATACTATTGTGAGGTTAGGTAATTTTTAAATTACATAAGCTTCTTACTTATTTAACAAAATGATAAAGGTAATTAAGTATTACTAGCACCATGGATAATTACCATAATTATTGTTCCATATTTATATACTTACATTTATTGAAGTCAATATCATATGTGTACATGTATAATTTAAGAAATCATAACACGAGAGGTGATATTTACAAAAATACTTATTGTCATGCCTTAATACTTCACAAATTGTTAGAAAAATACCTGTTTCTACTAAGCACATCGATAATTTTATTCATCTTCACTTCTTTGTTATGAAATACGAGTTTATGTTATAAAATTTCTCAATTTCCTAGTCCATGTCCGCCATTTTGTCATACTTCCGGTTTAGTTCTATTTATAATCTCAACTCGAGGTCAGATTCATATAAATGATTTCTGAGGCAAAGTCGATTAATAGATCAACTGTTATGTATTATTTATTGATTTAAATTGTATATTTGTTCTTATAATGAAATATTATGATATATTTATTTTCTATTGTAACCTCAAACCACCTAATTTGCATACCAAAACATGTTGGTACTCATTTGCATACCCAAAGGTAATACAAGCGTTCGAATACCAAAAAAATCACTTTACCTCTGTCCTTACAGTAGAGTAGACGTACCAAATTTTGTCTCATCCAAATATTTCATAAATTCTAATAAAAGTTTCATTCATTACTAAATTTCATCTTGAAAAGGTACCTTGTAATAGATTATTTTTAACTTGTTGCCGGAAGTTCAGTATCGGTAACGATTTTGTTTACAAACTGTCAAATTTCTGACTTAGTCTTTTTGGGCACATTATTCGGTATTTCGTATATTTGACGGCACTTTTAGTTATAGATAATCGATCTGACCTCGAGCTATTATAGTTTTTCACATTTATGCCATTTATTTATGCTGAAATCGTTACAGTATTTATTGATTCATGCATTTGGTCTGAATCCCAGCCAGAGTTATTTGTTAAGGCCCATTACAAAAATAAATCATAATTTAAACCGAAAGGAATGGCTTTGTCCTGAATTTAGTTAGTTTTCCATGTGTAATTTTTAATTGGCCGCTACCAGGCTTGTTGTTTACGCTACCAGTAAACTGTTTAATTACTTATTTACGTTAATACTGATTAACTTTAGCAATTTATTTGAATAATTGCTGATGTAGTACCCTTGCACATTGAAGTAAAAAGTACCCATTAAAACAACCTGACTATAAAATCTGAGAAAACTTGGTTGAGAGAGTAAAACAGGTGATAGTCGAGAGAAAAGTCATACACACGAAACAGGGGCGCTACACTATTAACATTCCATGATTATATCAAGCGGGTTGGATACCATTCCACTCGTAATACAATTATGATGCACATTAAAATAATGTGTCAAAAGCAGAGTTGTTAAGAGTCGAATGCATATTTATATCGGGGCTTTATCGGGGTTCACTACTGTTTGACCGAAGGCTAAGAAATCATTTAAGAGAAAATATTAAATTAAATATGTTGAAAGTATCTAGACTTTATGATGCTGACATATATGTAATCAAAACAAATTAAACTATTACTTATCACCGACTTGATTGTGAACTTGAAACCCTTATATTCAGATGAATCATCAGACTTGAACTGGAGTTGTATTATGTTTCCGAATGTGATATATGTCAATGGATCAAAACCACAGTGTCTGCTTGTTGTTTCATCAATGCCCTTTTCTGTTATCTTAACATAGTCCGAGCTAGAAAAAATATAACATTTTCAATAAATAAAAGGCGACTTTTATATCAATTTGAAAAGTATTTCACAACAAGTTGTAGGATAGTTAAGTAACATTAGGCCCAAATGTGACGAAATACATACATTAAATATCTAATCATAGCGTTCAATGTAGAAACAAGTAAAATGGTTTCCTGCGGGGAACATTTTAAATGATATAAAGATATTTCATTTAACTATTTTCAATAAATAAACGTTTGTATCAGGAATATAGTTGACAATAATCGATAAATATAGAAGAAGGTCTTTGGAAACTGGTGACCGTTGATGACCGGAGAAGGTCGAACATAAAACAATATTCTTTTTAAGAGAATGATTAAATAGGCCTACCATTTTATGAATAATTCCAAGCAAAAAATGAAATAAAGCAAACACACAAGTGTACGCAGAAAAATATCTCTATTTATTATGGCAGATGCCACTACGAATATTTTAATTTTGAAGATTTTCAGTATAAACAATTTATTGTTTGTAAAATTCGAGATACATATATTAAAGAAACAATGATAATTTTTAAATACATCATTCAAGTTTTTCCACCTTAAACGGTAAAATAATTATAGAAAATTAGAAATATCACGTAATGGTTTTTTGTTCTTAATTAGGTGTAATTCTGACTAATTCCCTAGAGGTAATTCCGTAACGTACCGACAAACGGTATTTAGCCAGGTTTTCGAAAAGGTCAATTAACCAATCGTGTACGGTTTACAGATCACATGCTCCTCCATGTACCGAAAACAGGTCACGTGCTCCTCCATGCCTCAAAAGTTAAACGCGTACTAATACCCTGCGGTCTCCAGACCGCAGGGAATAAGACGCCTGTTGAAAGAAATGTTAACTCGTGCGATTGTTATATATGGCAATTAACTGCCAATATACTACTTCAGCTACATACAGGAAGCCCGTTTATTTAAATGAACGAAGATCAATCAGTCACAGGAAACTCGTTTTCAGCGGGTGCAAGCGATTCAATGAGGGCAAATATGAAATCAATGATGAAAAATGCACTGGACGTTTCTCGCGATGAAAGAAAGCATGCTGCCCGGCATGTTTCATGTATGCATTGAGTCTACTAATTCAAGTTTGACCAAAAAAATAAGTGTGTCGCAGGGTTAAAATATTTCTACACTGGATTGAAACAAAGTCTGGGCGTAGGTTCGATGTATTTATTAATCACAAGTAAAAATGGTCAAAAAAGATAATACAATAATTATACATCTTACAAGTACAATACACATAAAAGCAAAATACAATGAAATAACAATATGCAAAAAGTATACACAATCAACGCGTAATAAGAAAATACAAAAATACAATATTAATGATATATCTTACCACAGCGTCTGTTGAAGATATGTACTGATGTAAACTGTTTCAATATAAATTGAAATTAAGTAAATGAAGATCAGATAATGTTAAATAAATTTAACTAGTTTTACTATATGTCTGACTCGTAAGAGAGATGATTGTAAAGAGTGAGCGGGACAGGAAAAGCAAACAGTGCGCGGAAGTAAAGAATATTTAAAAGAACCAATGGATATCTCTCTAACATAGAAACATATACAACAAACAAAACAACTGGACAAATACAACAAGGAAAGAGTATCCAGTGTTCACGATATTGTAAGAGTGGGATCCACAATGTTCATCATTGACGGAAATTGTCGATTTTAACCGATTCAATACCGGAAGTAAAAAATATACGATAAAAACTAAACACAACCGAATAAAAACGCGCGTGCACGATGTTTCCGCTTAAATAAAACTATAAAACTATGGAAAGCTACAACTGCCATTAACTTATAATTTCAATCTGTGACAAGTGAATATAGGAAATATTTTATTTTATTTAACATGATGATATTTCCAATTAATAAATTAAAGAAAAATTTCAGGTGATTATTATTTTATTATTATTATTATTGTTATTATTTGATCTAGTATTTATAATGAAAGCCTATGCTCAGTAGAAGAGTGATAAATAATCTATATTTTTTGTGTGTATATACTGTTATTGTGATGACGTCTACAAATTGATACTATGAATTGCTTATGTTATTCACGTAGCAAGCCCATACCCGTTGAGTGAGAATTTACTAAAAGTCACGGAGAGTTCCTGCCCCGTTCAAAAGAATGCCAAATATGATCAAAGTCTTTCCCGATTCAGCACTGCAAACGAGGACTGGTTATAGTGGTATGATCCTAGAATACTTGGCAGATAATCATCAAATAGAAGAACGCATGTGAAAGTAATGTATTCATTTTGCGACGTCAAGAACGACATTTATTCTATTGTAAGCTTGCACCTAGTCAAACATTCAAATTATCTTTTTAGCAGAATTGTTTTTTGTTAAGGTATTGTACTTATTCTACTGTATTACGAGGACATGCTCCTAGATTCTCTGGTAAAATTGTATACGTAAAATAAATAAAAAGTGAATAATAATTACTTTTAGAACAACCTTGATTAAAATTTACGAATAAGAAATATGGATTAACAGAATAAAACTCAATCGAGAACGCATCGATTGTACACTGTAACACCGCAATTTGGGGTCAAACGCACTTTGGGGCCGGATCCCAAAGTGCGGTACACTTCACTGCGCACTATTTGAGGGGAAGCTCAAGATGACGGTCGATAATCCCATAAATGATACCTAAAAGGAAACAATAGTAGCCGAAAAGGAAATCAAAGAAAACAAATAATTGATTGATTAATAGGCCCACAAAGCAAAAGAAGTAAAGGGCACATTGGAAGGGGACTTAAGATTCGGGGAAGGGATTGGCAAAATTATAACAAAACTAGGGGCAAAAGGGAAGATACATACTGTAGACTTGAAAACAACAAGAGACATAATCAAAAGTGTCACCAAAGCAGTGTGAAGCAACAAAGACATACAGAGGGGCGCCGCCTTGGAACATGTCAGCAGCATAAGTACTGCTGGGGTGTTTTAATCAGTTAATGGCCCACCAAATCTCAGTAACGTTTTATTGATTAAATATAACCAGTATTATTACTTCGACTTCGATATACTGGCTACTATAAAAAATGCATCTGAGAAAGTAGTCCCAAAATGTTAATATAAATTAAGCTTTCATATTTGCATGCCATATTTGTACATAAACATTTTTACACACAAACAAATCATTGTTCTGGTTATATATAATGAATCTTATAAGATTTATTTAATATAATTTAGAAGAGTTTATTGGAAGTTTAGGTTAAGAAAAGGCTAATAAACATTTGCCAGTACAATGTGATAAATATATATACCCTATGACACACGTTTCCGTTATGTCTCGTAAAGCCAAGTAGCGTTATATTGGATATAGGATGTATCTAACGTTAGTGAATTATAAGTTACTTACATACAGTTTTCGCTCTTTTCAACAATAAAGTAGTCGGATTTTAGGATCATAAAATGATCATCAGCCGTCTTCAGTGTCCATGTACAGTCTTCCAAAACTCTGAATAAGGTAGCAATCCAACATTAAGTTCTACGTTTGACAGATCAATAAAGATTAGAAAAATGCTTCCGTGTTTTGATTTATCAACACTATAAAAGAGAATAACAAGTTTAGCCTGGGCTTATCGCTCTTGTTCTTTTATATGCTTAAAAAATCGGTGTTAATTTTAACATGTTGACCTATTTATCATTCAATTTGGTACTATATCAAATATAAATTTGCTACTTTCCTGAAAGTCATATTGTAACATTGAATTTAAGGAGATAGATTTTGAAAATCTTCTAAAAAATAAAATGGTAAGAGCTTGAATATTAGGCATGAAACATCACTTTTATACTCTACTATAACACGTTATGGCGTGCAACTTACACAAAAATAAAAATCTTGAAAAGGATTGATTCCTATGTAGCATTTAAAACACCAATAAGATATTAGGTCTGTTCATGACCTGCTTATACTTATTTTCATAAATACGATAAATAAGTACTTATATAAAAACGAATTGACATCATCTGCTGTATAAAATTATCATGTTACCAAAATGAAAACTATATTTATAATGTATGTTACTGACACACTGTAATTAATTGACAAAGTACTCGGCTTTGGGTCTTATTTTAATTCCATTTGAAGTGACACTTCCGTATCCGTATCCGTACTTGCTTTTTACAAGAAATTGCAAATTACCATATAGGGCATATTTTCCTGTAAATACTGTCAATATGTTGTTTACTACATTTGATGTTTTTTAATTGTATGTATCAGGTAAAATCTTACCCTGTTACATTGTTAAATCATTTCATTTAAGTATTATTTTGTTCTCAAACTTTATTACAGCTCTATTTGTGAAGGTCTCTTACAAATTTCAAATCTTACTGCTTTGACACTATTTTCTACGCCCGTCCAATACATAATGGAGACTTTTAACGTCCTATTAATAATACTCTTTTAGATATCGTTTCCGCTAAAAGTTACAACAATATTTTTTTCTATTTGCTAACTCTCCGTTGCTCAAAATGCTATTATATAATATAATACTCTTAATGCTCAAATGAAGGAGTATCAATATCATTAAATTAAAATATATTAGATAGAAAGAAAGATGTGACCGAAATTAACAGTTTATGCAAATAAAGGGAGGCCATAAGAAATATGTCTTTGATAACGTCTTGCTCTAATTTCTCGTTTTTTCTCTTAAAATTATTTCTTATGTATTTGAACTTTTTGTATAAAAAAAATTATGAATGTTTACAAATTTTGTCGCAAGGAAACTGAAATATATATATATCAATTTGATTAAATTGTACGTTACATTCTTTAGGACAAAATACAATTTTGAACCATTTTTAGGTAATTATATGTGTAATTTCTTTGTCGCATTTCCTACTGAAAATTAAAGAACAAGTTTATAACAATTTCCCGCACGAAAAAGTTATATAAAAGATGTGGGCCTTTGCACAATAAATCATCATATTACTTTTATATTTATTTTTCGAAAAAAGCACAAAGGCATATGCGTCATTTAAACGCTCGTTATTGACAATTATTTCTTGACATAAAGTCAATAAAATAATATATAGAAATGAAGAAAAAAAACTTAGATTTCTGACATTTAAGAAATAAACTTGATTAAAAACAATTACCTGTAAAATTCTACACCATTTATTACTCCCGTCCTGAGCCGAATTTCAGCAACACCACCCATGAGTTCCAAATCTATTTCTCCGCCACATGGTTCTATAAAGAGAGTATTGCCTTGAAACAGATTTTTAAAATCTCTAAGTGCTGATCTTTTTAAAATTTATAATCATAACCTAAGTCAGCAGCGGAAGGTGAACCTTATTTTAGTTTTGAAATTAAAAATAAATATATATATACCTTCTCTCTTTGAACGATATTTCTGTTCGGCTGCTTTAAGAATACATGGTAATGTTACCAGGAAGGCAAAAACTAAACATTTAAATCCACACATCTTGTTTTTACAAAAACATTTTTACGTTTATAATACAAAATAAAAAACAACTTCGTTTTACAAAAACTTATCTGAAACTGTTTATATAATTGTTCCACTTTATGAAAAAAGTATTAATACTGAAAAACAGGATGTGACCTATATATTTTCTGTTGCCAAATGATTCATTAGATAGAGTTTTCAGAGTAATTACATAGGCAATAGGAAACCTCTTATACTAGTTGCCTTTATCATAGAAGTAAATGGAGTGTTTGCTAGTTAAGCAGGACGGTTATTATACCGACACATGTATTTCAGTCCTTATGAACGAAGCATGAAATTGTATCGCTTAATGTTTTCTTCTAGTAGATGTTATTTAAACTTCTTTTCGTGCATTAAGATCTGCAGAAGCATGAAAATGCATTTAAACCTTCGTTGACAAATGGCGGGGGATTAAATAATGTTCGTCCTTTTGGGGATTTCTTCTGCCTCCCTTATCGGTCCCCTGCAGGTGATTTTGCTGTTATGCTGCTCTGTTTTCCTTTAAACCATTAAGTATTTTTTATTATCGTCATTGTTTTTTTTTATATGTATCTAAATGATCATTTCTGTGTTTACCTTATTTCACATTTTTTAACCAAAAAGGAACATGTTGGTAGTAAGAGTGAGGTTTGATGCACCAATGAATTAACTAAACTCCCCAGCAGTGCATAAGCTGTCAGAGTTTTCGCCCTTTCATGATTTTAATTTTGAAATTTGTCCGGACTACTCCTGTTATAACACTTATACAATTTCAATGAAACTTGGTTGGGCTTTCTTTAGGGATTCTTATTTTCTCTATTTTACAGGATTGATCGATAGCTCAAATTCTTGTGCATATTACACAGTTTTTTAGGTTTAATGACTTTTTGCCAAGTTATTGCTATCATCGACGACACATGGCATCACTGATGTCCCTTGTAATACACTTATATTATACTTTGTATGTCCTGTTTGTAATTTTAGAACCGGTGGAAGAAAAGTGACTTCTGGGCAAAACTGAGACGATTTATTAATGTTAAGACCTTTCTCAGGTGGATGGCACAATAAGTCATTTTGTATCAATTTCATTTTTAGAAAAATGAAATGAAAATGAAATATCGATAACGACAATTTAACAAAATAATACAACATCTCAAAAAGTGAAAACATACAAAACATGTAACAATACATACATGTAAAACACATGAAGGAACACGAACTAATTACCTCCTTGGAATGGATAGTATCTTCTCTTTTGCGTCTAGTTTTATTTTCTTAATTTTACCCTCCCTTCAACAAGTCCCCTTCCCCTGAGTCATTTTACTTTGTGGGTCTTTTATTCAATCAAATATTTGTTTTCTTTAACCCTTTACCTCATATAGGCGTGTTTTGACGGCTTTTCGACCCCCATTATTTTGAGGCCTCAAACAGTGAAAAACTACCATATCTAGACCCCAAACACTGTTTTTCGTTTGAGAAATGTTGTTAAAAAGTAATCACTTTTTCGGTGCCGCCCCTTCGAAAAGGTTCATCAAGAGGTTGCCAGAAGGGGGATGCAAAGAAAATTTTGAACATATGACAGGCTAAAAATGATAAAAAAAGATCGATTGTAAGGTAACGTGTAACCAACGCTGAAAAGCATTTTACTCTATCTCAATCTATTGAAAAATTGCAGCACTTTGAAATCAGTTTTGATGGACAAAAAAAAAACAATGCAAATTAGTGATTTTTGGCAATTTTGAGACGTCTCCCCGTTGCCATGGTAACAAGAAATTTAAGATTGAGCATGCTGTTACAGGGGCTATGGTCCAGTTAACATTTTTCATAGTTTCATAGCAGTTTAAACTTGTTACAGGAGGCTTTTCAATGAAATCGGCCATTTTTCACAATATGCTCATGAGGTAAACTAATTACCTAATCGGTTACTAATATTTCTAAATGTAAATAGTTATTATGCCCCCACTTCAAAGAAGAGGGGGTATGTTGCTTTGCTTTTGTCGGTACGTGGTTCTGTCGGTCCGTAGACCAAATGGATACCGAGTGATAACTAAAGAACCCTTGGGCCTAGGAACTTCAAACTTGGTTTGGTCATTGGTCATGACCAGCAGATGACCCCTATTGATTTTGAAGTCAAGAGATCAAAGGTCTTGACCTTGGATGTAAAAACGGTTTCCGATCAATAACTAGGCCTAAACACTTTAAAATGAGATGGTGATTGGTCATGACCAGCAGATGACCCCTGTTGATTTTGGGGTCAAGGGGTCAAAGGTCAAGGTCACATTGACCTTGTAGGTAAAAACGGTTTCCGATCAATGACTAAAGAACGCTTAGGCCAAAAAACGTCAATATTGGTATGGTGATTGGTCATACTAGCAGATGACCCCTATTGATTTTGGGGTTAACGGGTCAAAGGTCAAGGCCACATTGACCGTGTAGGTAAAAAGGGTTTCCGATCAATAATTAAAGAACGCTTATGCCTAGGAACTTCAAACTTGGTATGGTGATTGGTCATGATAAGCAGATGACCCCTATTGATTTTGGGCTCAAGGGGTCAAAGGTCAAGGTCACATTGACCTTGTACGTAAAAACGGTTTCCGATCAATAACTAAAGAACGCTTAGGCCAAAAAACTTCAAACTTGGTATGGTGATTGGTCATGACCAGCACATGACCCCTAATGATTTTGGGGTCAAGGGGTCAAAGGTCAAGGTCATATTGACCTTGTAGGTAAAAACGGTTTCCGATCAATAACTAAAGATGGCTTAGGCCTAGGAACTTCAAACTTGGTATGGTGATTGGTCATGACGAGCAAATGGCCCCTATTGATTTTGGGGTCAAGGGGTCAAAGGTCAAGGTCACATTGACTTTGTAGGTAAAAACGGTTTCCGATCAATAACTAAAGAACGCTTAGGCCTAGGAACTTCAATATTGGTATGGTGATTGGTCATACCAGCAGATGACCCCTATTGATTTCGGGGTTAACGGGTCAAAGGTCAAGGTCACATTGACCTTGTAGGTAAAATCGGTTTCCGATCAATAACTTAAGAGCGCTTATGCCTAGGTACTTCAAACTTGGTATGGTGATAGGTCATGACGAGCAGATGAACCCTATTGATTTTGGAGTCAAAGGTCAAGGTCACATTGACCTTGTAGGTGAAAACGGTTTCATATCAATAACTTAAGAACGCTTAGGCCTAGAAACTTCAAACTTGGTATGATGATTGGTCATGACCAGCAGATTACCCCTATTGATTTCGGGGTCAAAGGGTCAAAGGTCAAGGTCACATTGACCTTGTAGATAAAAAGGTTTCTGTACAATAACTAAAGAACGCTTAGTCCTAGGAACTTCAAACTTGGAATGATGATTGGTCATGACCAATAGATGACCCCTATTGATTTTGGGGTCAAGGGGTCAATGTCATATTGACCTTGTACTTAATGACGGTTTCTGACCAATAACTCAACAACTTAAGTTGCCTTGGTTGATATTTTTATATTAAACTAAAATGCTTTTGGTTGAAGGTCTTATGTAATATAACAACTTGGCTGTCATTAATAGGGCCTACATGATTCATAAAATTTATGCATATATTATTTGGTAAGATTTGTAATAACTTAATTGCTGCACACAACCTATTGGGTCACAATAATTATTACCTTGTGACTAGTCATGACCAGTAGATACTACATAACCCTTATTAATTGTTTGTTTACTGATCACATGACTAATTGGCTGCCGATAGGGGGCAAACATGTTTTACAAACATATCTTGTTTAAATCAAAATTACCTCTTTTAAGCATATCTTGCTTTTCTATTGATAAATACTATGCCTCTTTATTTGGCAGTAATGCATGCCCAGTAGACCTCTATAAAAGATTTATAAATCATGCACTTTGAGTTAAGATGCTTGGAGGTAATATCGTATAGAAAAAATATTTCGGATAAGTTTCTTGATTTGGACGTGTATTGCTTTGGCTTTGCGGTGCTCTTGTTAAAAGCTGGGATTTTTTCTGGTTCGTATGAACAATGTATGATGCACGTTCTTTAGATGTTTGTTCATTAGAACTTTGCGATATTTATTCTAATGTCAGACTGTTTAAATGTTTCATATTATCATACTGTTTAGATCATACAATGATTTGATTAACAATATGAAGCAGTTTACATCCTGCTTATGAGTCTTTATGACTATCAAACGTTCTTATGTTTAATTCAAAATAAATCAGCATTCTTCAAAAAATATGGGTACATAATATGAATCGCTTTAATATGACGTAATACGAAACAGTATGAACAAAATGAAAACTGAAGTTTTATAAAATAAATTGTAAAGGAAACCCATCCACTTGGACTCACAGACGGAAGTTCTTGCGAGGAAAGGGACAATATCCAAGGACCCTGGAGGGATAATCTATCAGTTTATGAGACAAACCGGCCATAACAAAATACCTCTGCGTTTAATAACACATTTAAATTTAGTTTCTTTGTTGCTTTTCTGTGTTTGTTTAGTCACACTTTCGCCCTGTTACAAGACGAATTTGCTTATCAACATAATGGTATACTTTGCTGTTAATAAAGTTCCTTTCTGTATAAATCTTGACAAACATTACTGACTATTTGCCTTTCAATTTCTGAAATACGTATCCAGAAATATAAACTATTTCATTTTTATCAAGAGGGCCATGATTACCATGGATCACTCACGTGTAATCAAGAAATGGTTAAAATCCAGAAATTAGATCACATTATCATTATTTCTCCATGCTGCATTATTGTTAAATAAATAACCCCAACTGCAGGATAACATTTTTTACCACAGGAATATGATTTATACATCTGTGTACATGTCGACTTTGCAATTATATTTTTGGGACCGAAAATGATTTTTGAGATTGATTTGCTTTACAAGTTTTGTTAAATAAGTGACCACCAGTGCGGGGCCATTTCAACTCAGGGAAATGAAATGTACGACTTTTGTATAGACTTTTAACTAACCGTATTTTTCTTTACAATTAGATTTAAAAAAAAACAACACTGGTTTGACCAATTTCT